AGCTGTCCTCGCTGATATCGCCTCGAATCTCCTGTCCACTGCCGGTGTCGTACCCAGGAAGGCCACCGGTGGCCTTCTCATCGGCCTCGACCTTGGTGGGCACAACCCCTTCTGGTGCAGCCATGGCGATGAATTTCGCGGCTTTATGGGGTTACACAGACAAGCAGTGTCTGTTACAAAAGAATGCTGCGGGAAGAGGGCCCGAGAAGAACAGAAATGACGGAGAGGGATGGCTGTCGAACACGAGACAAACCAGATCAGATGGGGGAAGGGGGGAGGTTTATGAAGGAAATGCCAATCGAGAGCACAGAAACCGGCGCGCAAGGACTAAGGGTTCTTGTCAAGGGCGGCAAGCGGATCCAGTCATGCATGGAAAGCCGATAGGCTGAACTTGGTTGACGATGGAAAATTACACACAAGAGAAGGAGGGAGAGATGAGGGTCCAGGGCCGATTGAGTATCAAGCTGGTCTATCCAACTTTGCCCCCCTCTCGACGGGCGACAGACGCAGATCTTGGCAAGGACAGGATATGGCAGGCTATCCTGGCAGCAACCCCCGTTACTTGTTGCATACGACTTGGGGGAGGGATGGAGGCGATTTGTCTTTTGGCCGTGCTTCGATACGTACCAAGTCCTAGGGCAGGCCAGCGGGAACGAGCGAAACCTTCCCCGTCGTTGAGTCTACTGCGTAGGTATTCCTCTGTGTTCGTACGGAGCACTACTGTCTGGGCGAGCTGAGGACGAGGTACCTGGTGAGTTAGGCGGACTGGCTGCGGACAGCTTTCCGGTATGCATGATGCACTAACGAGGAACCCAGGCACCGGGTACAAACCCATATTCGGCCGAAGAAAGGGCAAGCCGTCGCAGTCGCAGTCGTAACGAAGTGGATTTGGACGAGACCCCGTCGCCAGCGACCGTGACCTGGGGGAGACGAGAACCACAGCAATGGGATGTCACCCTGCTCTCCACCGTGGCACCGAGACATATGCGTACGCCCCAGCCGGGCGATTGAGAAAGCCTGAGAGCCCCCAGATAGCGTGGGTTGTGCTGGTTGGCCAATGGGCGACTTGTCACTTGAAGCCGTTAGCAAATGGCTCCGAAAAAGTGGCCGCCCCTCCTATTGTCCATTGCGCGCTGCCTCCTCAACGTTATCTCAGGATCCAGTCCGACCCTCCTCCTCTCGAACCTGTCTGTGGGACTGGGGCCCTGGGGGGCATATGTGAAGTGGAGAGCACGAATCTTTGGGCCCGGGTCGGTGAGGGGAGATGGTTCACGCAGAGGTCCAGGTCCACGACGCTGGAGACGAAGCCAGGAGGCTAGCCTGCATTGCAATCTGCGTGCTATAGTACACAACAGTCTCTGCTGCGATTCGGTCACTCTGTCTTCCCGGTACACTGGAAATCGTCGAAGTCGAGGAGGCTCATCGGGAAGAAAATCCTGCAGGTAAGCCACACCAATGATGTCCAACCAGGCTTCTTGCCAGGGTTGCAGCGGCTTTTGCTACACTTCTCGGCGCGGCATTCACGGAAACTGGCTGTTCCCTAACTTCCCTTTCGAGAGCTTCGGTTGCCAAGAAGTCGACTGCGGCCAGACAACTGGCTGGTCCGAGAATGCATGTGGTGTGGGTGGACCAGGGGGGGCTGATCTTGGCCGCCCCAGGTTTCCATCATCCTTGAAGAGCCCCGACGTCGTGCAGCCGACAGAGCCAACGACCGCGGCTGGCACAAAGTCTGACCTCGATGCCTCAACTTTAGCGTACTTGCTGCACTGGCAGCGCTACCGCATGATGGCTTGTGATAGTGCAAGTTACCCAATGCGACAGATACACGCACCGTCATCGCTTCTTTTCGAATGAAGAAATCCTGTCGAGCCAGTATTTGCGCAAGAGAAATGGAGGAGAGGTTCCAAGGGCATACGGTCTGCCAGTTCAGCACTGCGTTTCGTTTCGATCACAGATAGTTGGAACGGGGAGTTTTCTCTTCTGCAATCAACAGGGGAAGAGTACTACCTTACGCAGCAGGTGGAATCGGTCCCACCCCTGGTCGATAGCTCCCGGTGTTCCCATCCCTCCCTGCAGAACACGACAACTTCGCGTCGTCGCCGGCGTAGGCCCTATCGCGCGGCTGTGTTGGTTGCGACAGTTGGTTATAATGTAATATGGTTGACTAGACATGATACGTCTGCGACAAAACCCCCATCCGGCAGAGGTCCTACCAGTTCCCCGGGTGAAGAGGCGCAGGTGACAATAGCCACTCCTCTTCGACAACAGGGTTGATGACAGAGTGTCGCCTTTGCGTCTGGTGATGTGCCGCTGCGTGTCGATGGAGATGCGGCGCTTTCGGAACCAACATCAACCGACCTTGACAAGTGGCAATGCGATAAGCTGTTTGATGGTGTTCTCGGCTCATCCCATAGGCCGGCACGTTTCGAACCAGCCATCAGTGCGCCGTCAGCTTTGCCTACTTGTCTGCCTACCTTACTTATGTGCTTACTTTTACCTACTCTTTGGTTCCTAGTCATCCAGTATGAACGGCAAAGGGGGGCAGAACTTCTAGTCTCTCGCGCCAGGAAGGTCGATGGTGGCAGCACCACATGTCTGCGACCCCCCCTCCCCTTCTTCCGCCAATTCCAATAACCTGCTTAACTTTGAATATCGGTCATTTCGGTCTCTAGCCATTGGCGATTGCCAACGCCCTATCATCCCCTGCGACCACTATTCTGCAATGGCTGCAGTAGGTCGCATCCTTTGGGCGGCGGGTGACAAGCGAATCCCAGCATCACTGCATGGCCAGGCAGATCAAGACCTTCTACTCGTCCTTCTAGCGTCCTTCCATCGGGTCCTCCCTCCAATAATGTCACTCACACGCTTCGCTGCATCTCGATTTGTTAATCTGAGGGGCATTGTGATTCTGGCTGAGACTCCCGCGAGTCGCAGCCACAAAGTCAGCATATGAAGTCATTTGCTTCGTTATCTATACTTCCGGTATCAAACAGGTGGAAGTTCGAAACGGGATGCTTATCTACGCCGCAGGATCATGGATCCCACTGCCAACGCCAGAAGCACCACACATATGCGGATCCAGTTCGAACATTGGGCTGCCGTACCCACCATGTATCCGTACCCTTGCTCGAGGAACCTAACTTGGGTCCAGTTTAATTGGGGTGAACTCGGGGAAACAGCCAGGAGCGTGTGCTTACTGCTGACCCAGGCGAGTCCGCGTGCGGTGTCGGTCAGGGGGAGAGGGGAGTGAGGGGGAGGGAATTCCCTGGGCCTGGGATGAAGCCGCAAGCGCGAATTTCTCACGCAATTGCAGGCAACCTAATCTTCCATTCGTACGGCCGCCATGAACACGCTGAATGGACTGGGATTTGAACGACATGGAGCAATGAGTTCCCGTACACGACTCATTACATCCGCATCGCACATTACTACATACAGCTCTTGTCAGAGTAGTCATCTTTCGAGCGAGCTCGCTGGGATTCATCTAGACTTCAATGTGGCCGCATCTCAAGAAACATCTTCGTCGGTTCGATGAACAAGCACCCTTTTTTTCCTCCTTTTCCTTGCGGTCAGTCTGAAGTGAACAGCTCGTCCGAACAATCTCGCCGAACTATTTAGGCCTGCAGTATAGTCCGCGTCTGGTTGCAGCGCCAACGCGACCATAACATTCCCAGCCCCAGGAGGCAGGCAGTAATGATGAGAAATTACCCACATTGGCGGCACGGCAGTCGCAGACGCCCCGTATTCGAGATTACTCCGTGTCAAGAGGCCTCGAAGCGGCAACTAGCTCCTTTCCATGCCTCCTTGGCTGCATCAGTCAGTATCTACCTTACGGATGCAAATTAGCGCTTCTTTTGCTATGCAAGCTCGCAAAGTTTATGGGCAGATTTGATGAGGCGGCGACGGTCCATCCCGACTGCGTGCCTACTGCAGCCACACGGTAACCGAACAGCCCTGAGCCTGGCGAACAAGGCCAAGAGTAAAGCGCGCTTGATGGCGTGACAAGGTAACAGTGGTAGGGATTTCGATTCCTCGGTTAGGGCCGAGAGGCGCTGCGCTACCAGAAACACACCATCAACGTCTTGTTGGCTTTGGAGTTGGCGGCAGATTGACTTTCTCAAAGACAAGCTGTATTCGTACCTACGTGATGCGTGGTGAAGCCATTCACGCCGACGCCGTGTCATGGCCCACGCTTTCTTTCGACAGCAGGTGTGGAGGAAGTGGGCAGTGTCCGGACCATGAATCCAATCCATGGTGATGGATTAGCATCCTCTGGGGAACCCAAGTGAGGTGCCCATTCGCGCGTGAGAAGAATTTTGTACGTAATGGCGTGCGTTTGACGTTGGCCTCTGCTCTCGCTTCTTATCTCTCCAGACTCCAGTTTAATTGTAGCACTACGGACATGTGGGTGGGACGAGAGACGAGACGAGGGTCTCCTGCATTCGGACTGACCGAAGATCGCAACGAATGGATTCAAGGACCCGCTTCGAATTGGGGGACTCTTCCCTCTGTGTGGTGGGACAATCTCACATGGCTACGGGGTTTGGCTGATATCGGAAATCAGCGTCGACGACTGTCAGCAGAGCAGCCGCGCCCTTCATCCGTGCTGGTTCCTATCATGAACTGATCGACATCCGACGAGAACGAACGACTCGGAGTTGTCGCGAGTAAAACCTCGAAGACTCGCATTCGGGGGTAGAGTCCACGACAAACGATGTCCGTGCAGCAATTACCTTATTTTGATTGATTATCTAATTATTGGTGGTCCGTTGGAAACATCATGTCCAGCCGACTTCGTTAGAGGCGTCGTTGATGTTGCTGTTACCGCACGCCAATAGTAGCATCACCAGCTGAAAAACAGGCGTTGAGAAGCGACGGCTTCGGACATTTTACTCATGCGCCAAGATCACGTCAGACTCGATCGCCTAGTCTCTTCCATACTACGTAATCGAAGCTGAAGGCGAGGCGACCGTGGTCCTGGACACTGAAGCCCTGGCTATCTACCCGTTCGTCTGCGGCCTGCGGTCTTTGAGAGTGCGATGACGAAGAAGGAATGCCGCTGCCAGCCCAGGCTTCCCCCCCAGAGGCTTGCGCCGTTTGATTGATCGCCGTGGCATGGCCAAGGGCTGCTGCAGACTGATAAGGCACACGCACACAATCACTCTAGGCTTGGAGGAGGAAAGGTTTCCGGTTGGCAAGCTCATCTTCCAGGGCTGAACGCCCGCAGCGCAGCGTGAAGGGCGGCGGGAAGGGAGGACGGCTTGGCCGACGATGCGCTCTCCTGGCCTTGCCTTGCCTCCCGGTCGATTCGGTAGCATAGCGGCGGCTTCTTATCTCTTGATGCTCACTCGCGCCGAGCGGATGACTACTTTAGATAGGCAGTAGAAGCCAGGCCTCCCCTCCCCCTTCAACCCCCCGGCGGACAAGTTGTCTAGCATGATTTCCGAAGCCCTATGAGGCTGCAGGGCGCAGAAAGACGTTGGCTATCGACTATTCACATTTGGCCTAGTCTTGGCTAGGATATTTTCGATGCTTTCCGTGAGGGGAGCCCAAAAGTCGAGCTTCATCCGGTCACCGAGATGAGATAGCCGGGCGATGGGTGTACCTACCTCGACGTGTGGGAAATCCTCTGAGACAAGCACCAAAGGATCTACGTCTGTGTCAATTGATCGGCGACCTATGAAGGCAAGGCACGTTGAGATTAAGTCGCGTCAGGATTGTACATAGGTATCTATCGGAAAACGTTAGTCGGCATCGGATGCAAGCGAGATGGATTTGATTTGCGTCACCCATTTCATTCAGCCGCCAATGAGCACCAACGGGCCCGGCGTCGAAGGCTGATTCTCTCGCCGTGCCACTCTTTTGCAGCAAGCCACGTTTGAAGGGCGCGGTCGCGGTCGCAGTCGCAGTCGCACTTTATCACAGACAGACAGACAGACAGACAGACTGCCGAGGTGGATGATATGAAAGAAGTGAGAAGACGTTGCTTTTCACGGCAACGGCATGAACTCGGAATTGACAAACAAAAATTGACGCATACTTCGTTTATTTTACCCCGGAAACTACTTTCCCCGCGAATCCACGGCTTGGAAGTTTGGTAACTCCAGCAAAGAAACTCCATCCATTACTTGATCAAAACCACTTTTGCCGACATCTCATTACGTACGGACTTGAAGAGTCGAGCCCGGGACATCTCCACATCGGCATCCCATCTCGCTGCCTGTCTCCAGTTTCCCACGTTCCCGTCTCCAAAGGTTCCAGACTTCCAGACTTCCCAGCGAAAGACAAAAGAACCCGCCAGCCCGCACGGCGGCGCATTGCGCACGCACTTCACGCACGCGAGCGCTGGAGCAGAGAGAGAGCCGGGCTCCATTTCCCCGCGATTTCCACACCAAAATGGTCAGGTCGTGACACATCCGAAGCTGGCCGCGAACGAATCAGTCTCCGGGCAATTGGACAGACGAATACCTACGTAGTAAGGTACAAATCTAAAACAATTACGATTGACTTGTCTGTACAGAATTATGGATCCATCAGAGACACTTACGACAAATCGCCCGGATTGAGGGCCCGCGTGACGTTCAGCGGCAGACGATCCCTCACGCATGGGGACGATGACGAGGAGCAGCACTTTCGAGTCTATTGTCCCAGTCTACTCTCGAGTGCATCAACTCGCCTCTCCGCCGTATGAGCCGTCTCTGACCGGCTCCACCTCCGCACCCGCGAAGTTTGCCCCTACCGCTAATCGACCTTACCCCGCCTTTCTTCCTCTAGTAACCTAGTGTCCGTCGATCAGTTTGGCGAGGAGCGATAGAGAAGCGCTGAGCGCACGCGGTCGTTTCGAAGGCGACGAGGAGGAGGAGTGTGGAGGTGGTCGTGGAGGGGGTGGAAGCTCATGCCGCGGCTCGGGGTGCAGGAGACCAACGGCGCTGGCGGCCACGGCGATGCGGGGGTATGCGAAGACACTGCTGGTGAATGTTGGAGGCGACGACGAGGATAGGTTGGCCGCGCTGAGGGATGCTCTTGATTGTTGTGGAATTGAGAGCGGCGGGTGTCTATCTTCTTTTCCATTAGGAGAGGATGCTGCTTTCTCGGGTGCCGTTATTCCGATACAAATGGGTATTGCTTGTCGAGTGACGGCGCGTGTAGTTTAAGTGGTACGAACGGGAAACCGCATCTTTGGTGTCCTCGATCCTAACGTTGCTTTTCCACGGGCGAGCTTGTGGTCGAAGGCTGGCTACCTGGTAGACCTGCGGGTTGTCCTTCCCCGTGGGTGCACCGCGACGATAGGCGCAATTTGTTGACTTCTGTGGATGATGTGGTACTGGGCGCGTTGATGCATCACACAGAGACGGCGATGTCTTTATAACCTCGAATATTACTAGACCATCTACGTGAATAAACATGATGTCTAGACCAATTTTTTCAACTCAATCTCGCGACTGCTTTACTCAACGCATTCGTCTCTTGCATGAGCTGAAATGCGGCGATGCTCATCCTGGTGTTTGTATAACTGCCGCCATCGAAGGGCATTTCTACGCGACTTCCACCCAGATGAAGGGAAACCTTCAGGAATGAAACCTCCAGTCTACTCCATTGGCTTTTTCTGGCAACGCTCAAATACCCAGTGGGAAGTGGCTTGCCTCTTCTTCATAGCCCTACCCACGCTGCGCAGGCAGGGTGAAGGCGATCATGCGATCCAGGAGCAGCACAGGTTCCTTTTCCTCTCGTCTACAATGACATCTACAATGATGAAACGTCAAAGGGTATGAGTAGTGTACAGAGGCGCCGATGCCTTGGATACTGACACTCTGCCCTACAGTTGATCCCGTGGTAGCAGCTCATCTCGCTCCGATATCTTGGTGTCCCGCGCGAGCTGGCATTGCGGAACAACGCTGGCGACAGACAGTGGCTCTTGGACCGATCCAAGACAATATCCTTGCTCTTGATGGTCGGACAGTGGACGTGCTGAGCCCCTTCTGCCTTTGTTGCTGTTGTCGGTGGCCGGCTCGGTCGCCGTGAGCTTCATCTGGTTTCCAGGCTTGATGAATTGACCTCTGGGGTAAAGTCGTCCTGCCATCAACAGTGTCGCTGGGTGGTCATGGCATTTTACTTCGGTTGAAGGGTGAACGTGCCGTAACACGATGGGTAAGCGGATGACTGATGCTGTGTGTGGTGTAGAAGGTTGGGAGGGACGACTAAGTCGGCGAAAGGGTGGTCATGAGCTTGGATATATACCTGCGTGACGGCAGATCACAGGTGAGGTCTCGAGAGGTTTTCTATCTGCTTTTTCTTGAATTGGATGTTCATCATTTTTATGCCATTGGGTTCATGCCAGATCAAGGCCTCACGGGGTTCGGTTCACAGTGGGTATCTGATGGCCGACGAATGCTCTGATCAAGACATATCCCTTGATTGAAGGAAGAAAGCCTGGAGACTCCAGCAGAATCTGGGAAGATTGAGAGCTGCCCCCATGGCTCTCTGGTGGGACTGAACTGGTTGTGTTGCTGTGAGGAAAGGGTGATGCCTCCTCCGCCGCTGCCTCACTCAAAACCTAGGGATGGGTGTCCCAGGCTGTCCTGGCATGGGATCTCAAGACTCGCGAGACCATAATGTCATGGATAATCAATAGTTCTTGCAATTTACCGTATGCCTTGTATTATGCAGAGGGCTTTGGACTTGCGACGGGCACATCAGAAGGACGGCCTTGAAACCGGCCTTCACCTCTGATGGCCAAACTTCCATGATGTTCCTCTTCAACTCTCACCAGTAGACGCCCCTGAAGTAAACGACTTAGCTCCGAACGTTTATGCTTGGCATATCTCTATGAATGCAGCGTGCCTATTCCATAACGTGGCCTCCTTGATTGTTGCTCGGCTCGGGCGATTTCGACCGTTGCTTACTTGCCCAAGAAATACCGCCAAGGCAACCTAATACCACTTAACAAGATAAGGCGATAATGCAGATGATACACACAGCCTTAGCATCCTGAACTCAAGCGTTGTCGACCTGCTCGGGCGGCCCAGTTGTGCTCGCCGTGGAGTCTGCCTGATGATAAGCCCCGTCCACCTCGTCGAACCGGAGCAAATCCGACTATCAAGACTGTTAAAACGGGCATCAAAGACACACACATGGACTCAAACAGTTCATAAGTCGCAAGGGCAATGCTGACGGCTCGGTAGTCGCCCGGTGAGGCAGTCAGCAGCCGAGACGCCCAATGTAAGCCGGGCTAACGTTGGTCCTAGAATATCGTCAGTGTACGCCTTGATTGGTTTAGCTTGTAACTTTATTAAATTGCTGTATTGGTCCATGTTGAAGAGGCTTGCTCCTTTAAACGGACGTTCCTGTTGTCATGTTTGACTATTTGGGTTGATACCTGCTGCCGGTATCACTTGCACGTTCATCTTATGCTTGGTGTTAACTTGAAGAAAGCATCGACGGCTTCAATGAATCCCCAAAGCCCTCACAATGCGTTCAACAAACATCCTTCGACAGATATTAGGCCCAACTCGATGGCACCAGGCCCGCTCAAAGTCGATGATGGGGAAGACGAGGCAGGAAGAGAAAGCCGTGGTGTCTCCTAAAGTCTGGTAGGCATGGACAGCTAACTCAAAGAGACGGAGCTGGAGCGTTTCTTGCGTCACGCATCTGGCTGACTTCATCGTCGTCGTCCCACGGAGGTTAGTATAGTGTCTCGTTTTTTCTTCCTTTGCACGCAGCGAGTCGTCGAGAGTACGCGTGCTTGTGCTTCAGTCGAATTTATCGCCGAATAACGTAAGGCTGACACAATTTAGGGTGACGACAACTTCTTGACACACCTGGAGCTTTAATTTCGTGTCTTAATTATCTTGGGAGTCATATCGCCAACATCTCCAGATCCAACATTTCAGTAACCTGTCTTCAAGGTCAGCAAAGTCTCAGAGATCAGTACCGAGCCTAATCAACGAGTTCGTGGATTGATCGTGGACATCGTCTAAGCGACCCAATGAGGCACCCTTTTTCCAGCATAGCCACGCCGGCCCGGCACCGAGCGACTGCCGACCCCGCGGCATCGGCGTTGGTAAATCTCATTATATACGGCCCTGGAGATACGTGAGCTCGAGGGGGATAGAGATGTCCACGTCAAGCATGATTCATTGGGATTCGAACGCATCAAATGAGGCGAGTGCCTCACGAGAACAATCACTGGCCAGTGTTGTCAGATCGACATGTTGAAAAGATCAGAATGCTGGGACAGAACGACCGAATAGCCCTCAACTTCGAGACGCATAACACGGCATCAAAGAATATAGGGCAACGAATAGGCTGAGCTTGCTCAATGGGGGTATAATATTCTTCCACTAAGTCATAAATGAATGGTTGGGTATTTCTTCATCCTTCAAATCGTTACATCCGCTGATTATAACACCGCTTCTAGGTACGTGTCCACGATGTCTCTAGTCTCCACGTTCTTTTCATCACATCATACAAGCGCAGAAATTCGAAACAAAAAGCCACAAGCACACTTTGGTTGTGCAGTATGAAGAGAGGTTCCACTTCTAGTGGAAGTCTCCAATGCGGGGTCCGAAGTACTCGCCCTCTGCAAGAGTAAGCAGACGGCAAGCCTTGCCTTCGCAGCCCTGGCTGACCTGTGAAATTGGTGCTGTTAGTAGTATTCCTTTTAGATCAACTTGGGAGCCGGAAAAAACGTACGACTGAGTTGCCCCACCATTCGACCTCGATGTCCTGCCATTGAAGGCCAAAGAACATGATGATGGAGGAGATGGCGATACCGCAGGAGAAGGCGGCGGAGAGAACGAAGTTGTACTGAAAGTAAGTGTCAGCGTCAAAATGCGACTATCAGTGGCAGGGAAGTAACTGACCTTGGACCACAGGCCCAAGAAGCGGCTCTTGAGGTAGACCCAGGAGAAGTAGGCAATGGGGACGGAGGGCCAGACGAAGGACATGTTGTAGGGGGCCCAGACGAGACCTCCGTACATGATGGCGACGGGGTGAATCTGGCGAACCCACTTCCACTTGGGGAAGAACTTGTTCAAGCTCCAGAAGAAGAGCACGATGACGACACCGAGGGGGAAGCCGAGGAGGGTGGCAGTGTACTGGCCGCCAGCACCCCAAATCTTCTTGGGACCGACGGTACCCCAAAGGACAGAGGCGGTGAAGAAGGTGTTAATACCGGGGCAGGTCATCTTGAACTTGGCGTCCTCGGTGCAGATACCTGGGATGCTGAACATCTGGAACTTCAGAACGCCGAGACAGACGAGAGTGGACACGAGGGTCGCAATGATCTGGGCCCAGAAGGTGTGGCGAGGGGGAATCTTGACGTAGTGTGCGAGCTTCAAGTCGTTGGAGAACCAGACGGCGTGAGCGCAGGTGACGTAGCCAAAGGACTTGAAGAAGTTCATGGCCAGGGCGTTACCCTCAACCCAGGAACCACCGATGAACTCGGCAAGCACGTTCAGGGTGACCTCGATACCCGTCATGGCCTTGATGATACCGACCGGCACGACGAAGATCATACAGAGGATGATACCATAGAAGACGACACCGACGGTGGTGTACGTGGGCCAACCAGCAATACCGGCACAGCCCAACGCAATGGCGATGACGAGGACAGTGAGGTAGTGCCATTCAGGGACCTCGGGGTATGCCTTCATCAGACGGCTGTGGACATCAAGGACCTGGTCCTTCTCAATGTCGCTGTTCTTCTTGAAGCTACCGATGAGAGCCTTGAAGCCAAGTGCAATCTCGTGACGGTGGTAGAGAGCGGCGTAGGTGATGGTGGCGGTGTAGATGGCAAAGAAGAACATGTAGATCATGACATTGGCAGCACCCAAGAAGGGGGGAGAGTACGCCTCATACCCCTCCTTGTCAAACAGACCGTGCTCGTTGACGGCGCGGGAGACGTTGTACAGAGCGCCAAAGTGGTCGAAGACCTTGTTGGAGTTGATCGGCAGGTATCCAGTGTTGTAAGTGTTCGTGTACCAAACAGCCAAGACGACGAACATGGAGATGAAGGTGCCGAGGAACTTGTTGAAGGTGGAGAAGAAGGGGACCATGAGAGGGTCAGTGTTGTCGTACAACAGGATGTTCCAGTCAAAGGTAGGGAAGGGGTTGAGACCAAGACCACTATTGAAGCCAGTGATTGTCGCGAGGTTGCGGTTCTTGGGGGCGATCCAGGTCATCCAGCTGAAGGTGGACAGAGCCGTGAACAGGTAGTTGGGGAACCAGAACCAGACGAACATGGCGGCAAAGGCGATGTAGAAGAACTTCTGTCTGCTCCAGCGCCAGGTGCTGTTGAAGGGGCCATCGACAGTGGAGTTCTTGTCGGTGTGGAAAGCAGAGTTCAGCGCAATGGTCACCAAGGATGCCGGCCACACACAGTACGAGGGGTAGACGAGGAATCTTCTGCAGAGACCCGCAAGACCGTATCCGATGAAATTGGTCGACAAGGAGATGAGAAGCTGGTAGCCAAAATTGGAAGCCCATGATTGGTTAAAGAACTTTGGCAACCATTGGCTCCATAATATGTAGTTTGTGTAAGGGATATTGTAGGCGACGTTGGCCATGATGGTGATGAGCATGTGCTCCTTGCGGTTGAATGGGCCGGGGTTCAGGGAGTAACGGTGGCCGGCGACGGTGAACCCAACATCGGGCAGGGTCCTCTCCCACAGCTTACCCAGGGGGTAGGCGAGCAACTGAGCAACGTTGGCCAGAATGGTAATGGACGGGTAGCGGACGGAGAAGAGCTGATTTACGAAGGCGAGCAGAGCAGAGAAGAGGAGGCCGATAACCCAGGCGCGAAGTGTCGAACTGGGCATGGTGGGGTCGTCGTGGTTGTCGACGACGGCGCGGACCTCGGCGTAGGGCGAGTTACCGGTGATGAGGGCGGCCTCGAGCTTCATCTCCTGAATGAGAGTCTCATGCTTCTCGGGGTTCTCAAAGACATCGTCGTTGCGGAGGAAGTCCTCAATCTTCTCGATAATGGCGAGAGGGAAGTTGGGGTCCTTCTCGTGGATCTTGTGGACGTTGAACATCATCTCGCGGACCTCCTCAAGGGACATCTGCGAGGCGAGCTCCTTGGCCTCGAGCAAATCATCTTCGGTAACGTTGAAGTCGTGCTCAACGTGTTCGTTGTAGTCGGCCCCATCGGGGTGGGCATCGACGATCTGAGGGGAAAGCATCAACACACAGGTCATCAATAGAGAGGTAACGTGATGCCCGTCGACATCCCGACCAACTTACAGGAGCAGCCTTTTCGGTCGAGACCTTCTCGTTCGAGACCACACCGCCCTGGTGGACGGGGGCGCGTTCTTCACGAATGTCGGACATTTTGTTGCACTGGGTCAGTATTCTTCACCTGGAAAAGGTTGTAGAAGCTTGATTCGGTGGACCCGTGGACGCTTGGGCTGGGAAGTTGCCAGTGACCGAGAAAGAGACGAGAGGCGGAAGGAAGGAACCGAGGACATGTCAACCTTTTAATATCCAAGAGCCACGAGGCGGTCATCCTTGTCACACGCCGGATGCTTATCGACGGTGGAGCCAAGGGTTCCCAACGGCCTGGCAACGAACGGACACGACGGTGGTCCCATTTTCGCCACGAGACGATCCCCGAGGATTACAGGTAACAGCAGAGATCCCTATGCGCCTGGCATAGATGGGAAGCCGAGATGGCACTGGGCCAGTCGAACCAGTGAGCTTCCCCTTTCTGGAATCCGAGTCGAGGTGGCAGGGATGATCATATTCAGGGCCGGAACTCCAGCCCGTCACCCTCCCTCCTCTGCTTGTGCGTCCGGAGACCCCAGTGCAACGCTTGTGACAGGGAGGTCTACCTTCTGCATTGCGACAAGACCGATATCAAAGGTTCTGGGACGCGGTAGGAGGGATCGGTCTGCATTCGCACTAGAACCGCTTTGGGCGCAATCTACCGGGGGGCGGCTGCAATGAAAGAATAGGATGAGATGAGAGGTTGTGAGACGATGATATGGAGGAAGTGACAGGGTGGTAAAAAAGACCAACAAGAGAGAATCACAGCGTCTATCCCAGTACATGCAGAGACACAAACTTCCTTCAAAGGAGGACGGCTATCCCGCACCCAGACTAGGCCTACTTGAGCAAATGGTGGGCTGCGCTTGACTATACTGCCAGAGGGTAGTTACGTTTTGGGCTATGGGTGCGCGCCTTCCCATAGTTGGCATTGTAGAAGAGGGTAAAGTGGAAGGTGTAGCAGACAGTGGAAGGTGCAGTACGGAGTAGAGGAAGGTGTACACAGCAGGAGAGGAAGCTACCTACGCCTTCCTCTCCTCTAGAAACTGCAGGAATGATAGAGATTCTGGGTCGAACGTGGCTGCTGCGGCGGTGTAGTCACGTGTAGCCCAATACTTGCTTGAGTACCTAGGCCTAGTCTGGGTGCGGGATAGCCATCCTCCTTCGAACGAACCATGCGTCTGAGATGTCGTTCTAACATGCCGGTTCAGTTCGTCCTTTTTTTCTGCCTTCTTCTCCCTTGGTGTCCTTCAGACTCCAGTTTCCTAGTCCTGGGCCGATGGGCGGAAAGGAAAACCCCACCTCCTCCCACTCCCTCCCACTCCTCCTCCCGGCCACCTACCGGGGTCCAGTTGCATTCGGCACCCACTGACCCAGGAACCCACAAAGTGGATGGGCCTTCAGAGATGAGGGATCCTGGTGCGCCTGGCGACGAGGAGATCATGCCCACCAGCTGCTGGACTTTCCTGTGGACCAGGCAGGGCGGCCAACACGCAGGAAACCGCCTGTTTAGGAGATCAAGTGCGCTTCCGCTGGTGATGCCAAGCAGTTGGGCCCTCGAGTGGCTTGATCCAGTATGGCAGGTCCAAGATACCAATAGCGGGGAGACCTCTTTTGGGGACTTTTTTGAACGTCAGCGAATGCGGCTGCAGTCCTCGCGAGATTTGGTTCTGCCAATGGTACCTTAGACGTTGAGCCCTTTACGAATCCGCCCCCCGTCGTAATCGCGATGGCTTCGTCGTGGTGCGACACACCAGCCAACAGAAGGAGGAGCAGCCCGTGTCTCACACGCTTTGGTCGATCGAATCTCTGATGAATAGAGTTGGTACGCAGTTACTCCGTACGCCGTGCAGAGACATTTGATCCACGCTGGCCCCCCATCAATGTCCAATCTCAGGCTCTGAGCAGGCAATATGGCAGTGGCGGGGATGCTGGTGGCATGGCGAGTCTCCGACTCCGTATACGACTACCAATCCGGGGATCCCTCTCGACATTGGCTGTGCACTGTCGCGTGTGAAAGTGCTGGCCTTTCACTGTGCTCCCGCCAAGAAGCATATTTGGTGGGACTAGCATGTGGGAGGGAGCCGCTCCGGAAGAATAAAGACAAGAAACTCTGTGTGGTGGTCCAAGTGAGACCACGATAAGACGTGAGGGCTGGGATGGAGAGGCATCCCATCCACCAGCCTGACTATCCATTGTGATGGCATCGATCAATCGATCATGTCGATGTGGAGTATCGAGACCTACACAACCGTACCCGTACCATTGCTTGGATTCCTACGAATGGGCTCTCGGTCGTTGCAGCTTATCACTGGTTACATTGCTGCGCCGCTTCGCTTCCCTCAGCTGGTACCTTAGGCACGACAATGCAAAAGCAAAAGCACCTCACCAACGCACGAAGAGACGAGCTAGTCGGAAGCCACGACGTTACACTACGACTATTCCAGCGGTGTTTGCCGCAGCCAGGCGAGGGCGGGAGGCACCGTCAAAACGGCGTCGAAGAAGCACGGAAGGTTGGTGGAAAACGGTTAATTCGTCCTCTAGCTGGATGGTGTGGATGGCTGATTGTTGACGTTGGAGGGAACGGCCACTCGACCTATTAGCCCCCGCCTCGGCCCTTTTTGCTACTTCTCCCTTTACCCATTGACGCGCTAGTCGACGGCAAAGACGACTCGGGGCCCTTGGTAGCTCGCGGCGATGGCTCAAAAAGGATATGATCTAAGGACCCTGGACGTGGCGTCCCTCTCCCAAGAACCCCCAAGACCCCTCAAGCTTTGCCCAAGCCCGCTGCCCAAGACTTTCACGACATCCCCCCAGGTCTCCCAAGAGCGTCCAAGACGTCCAAGACGTCCAAGACCTGCCATCAAGAAGGACAAGAAAAATCAAGAGATCTTGCCGGAAAGCTTGTCACTATCCGGGGAAATGCACACCATCTCTGCAGCCTGAAAGAGAGGCGCTGAAGCTACCAGAGCCTCACGCCCATCCAACACCAGAGTTGACTCTTGAGTCTCGTGAGTGAGACAGAGGGTATTGGTATTGTTCCTCCCCATCCAACAATCGTTACGGAGACCAACCCCTGTCTGTCTGTCCCTTCCCCCCCCTCTCTCTCCCCCAGCCCATCTCTCCAACTCTTATCAGCCAGATGGACGGGGGATTTGCAACCGAATTGACCACTCAAGAGCCGTGAACAAAGAGGAGTCGTATCATCCGACCAGCCACAAGGTGGCAAGTTGATTAATCTGTGTAATCTGTGTTCAGAACTTCAGCTAGGTGTGCGGGGGCGGAGGGACGCAGAACACTGCTTCTGGAGGAACTTTTTGACGGCCATCATCCATGCTCGAACCAGACTGGCGCCAAACATCGGCAGCTTATTAGATGGATCAAGCAACGCGTCCTATCAGTCATCCCTGTCAGTCTTCTGCCGTACAATTGGCTAGCCACTCCGTGCGATTTGGGCCAGATTGCTGTCGATTTTGTGGTCTACTTGTATATCCGTACCTTTCACTATACCACTTAACCAGCATTCGACATGCGCTCACGGATTTTTCTTTGCGCTTATTCTTCCCAGATCGCTCGCCGATAATGGACACTTCACTTCTCGATTTCAAACGGACATCAGACTTGCATCGGATACGATACACACAACATAGATGTTCGCCGGTAGGCTTGCCGGCGCGCGGAACTCCCTGCGGAACATGATGCTTTCGCGCCAGCTTACGAGCCGATGATAAGCCCTCGAAATCACAGCCGGCCGCGGCGTTTGCCCTGTGACATTGAAGTCTTGGCTTGCAGGGACTAGCCACCCGCCATTTTCAAGACCGTACACGCACAACAGGCCAACAGCTTTTCCGTACGGTGTCTTGTCGTTCGCGCAAGAGCACACTCCCGACCGGCACTGGTCTTCTTTCGGCAGGTCAAAAACCGACGCTGCGATTGGGTACACAACGCGTTGCGAGCTTGATGTTGCATCAGGGATGCTGGCCAACTCGACATGGTGTAATTCCCTCCACTGTTATCGCAATAGGCGCGTGATCTCTTATCATTTATTATGTGCTCGAAACACAGCAGGCACTTTGTTAAGCGTGCCAAGAGACGTCAGGAACGTTTGTGCGGCGCGACTCCGCGCTGGGCCATCGCAAGCCATGTCCTGGATTCCATTTCTTGCTCTTCGGGCGGCGTGGCGGCAGATGTGGCAGCCCGTGAATAAGTCGGGAACTACGCGAATAGCTTGCATCCTCATGGTCGACATCGTCAGTCATGCGCCAGGGCGACTGTTAAGAAGCTTCCGTATTCGATGTGAGTTCGAAATGGTCTCTTGGCGCAAGCCAACCCAATGACTCGCCTTTACCCAATGGTCTAGACGGCTGTTTCCAATAACGATTACCGTCATGAAACGATGATTGAAGGTTCTTTTAAACTTTCCCTTGATAAATTACATTTTTGACGTTCGTCAGAACTCTCATGTTGTAGACGCTGGAACGAAACTTCTTCCAAGAACCACGATGCGTAAATCACTGCAGAAACCTCGGTTCGCGGCAACTTGGCTTTCTCCTTGGCGATGCCAATGCTTCGTATGGGCGCATCTTGCCGTCTTGGAAAAATCTTGGGAGATACTCCGCTGGGCGAGCTGAGGAATCGCCGCAGATGTTTTGCGCCTGGAGTCGACAGATGTCCATCGCGCGGAATCGCCAGGGTCGTTTGGCTCTAGGGTCATCCGCAGCGATCCCCTGGCTCGGGTCCTTCTTAGTTTGCGGAGTGCCAGTGAGGTCTGTTGGAACTTGGACGCTTTCTACAAATAATGCGGCGTCTTGGCAGCGGGCGCAGACCCGGAAGTGGTTATCATACCGCTTCATCGCTCAGCTACGTACAAGTCGAGGGGGGCTCGAAGAGAGATTTGGAACCGCACGCCGGTGACGTTCGGCTGCAATATCACTTCCTTCTCAGGACATAGAGAAACCCCGAGTGAACGCATCCGACAGCTCGGCGATGGCACTCAACCGGTGATACCCTATCGCGAGCCATCCAAAAGGTAAGATCGCCAAGACTTGAGGATCGTTTGCTAGTTCTCACGGGTCGCTATGCCATTGTTCTCCTGAGTATTGTAATGCAAAGTTGAAAGCTCACTCATCGTTGGAGGGGCCGAGCCTAGCCCCCTTCAGTTTGGATAGCAATACAACGTACCATCTCAACTAAGAAGGCGCCTTGCCACACCGACCGTACATAAGTGGTGAGGCACCTTGGCATAAGCTGTCATGTCAAGCAGGAAATTGCCGTAGCCAGGCTACAGGATTCTGGTACCGGGACCAGACCTTCGTGGACTGCGAGACGGCGTTAGATGGTGTCCGCTGCACCGATGAAGACGCAGTATATTGATGATCTTGCGCCTTATGGTGAGCCCTCGCTTCGATCTACACACCTCTTCCGCCTTCCTGCATCTGCCAATTGCGCCGTAACGGACGGTTCATCCGATATGAAGGATTGGGACTTCAGTAGATGAATGTCAGCTTGAGATTTATCGTTATCTCTAAGCCTTCGAGATAGATGTCACGTACTCATTTCCTTGTTCGTGGATCACGGCTTGCCACCATACCAGCTCGCCACAGCATCCTGACGCCACCACTTGCCAGACATAATGATGGACTGCCTGCGGTTGAGGCGTTCACAAGCGGGCGTTGTTGGAACTGACAAATCGGTACAGAAGTGAGACTGTCAATTCATTACTCTATGTAGACCAGAATACCCATCGAATGACCAAATATGATACGAGATATCTAAGCGAAGCCCATCCACCCAATACACCTTATCGGAAACGAAGCAAGAAAAGCAGGCCGACTGACACCAGAAACTATTGCATCCATCCGAGGCGACTGCATCAATCAGCAATTAGACTTTCTGCATACGACCCAACATGTTCCTCAGGTAATGCCAAGTCCCAGGCTGACGGGGCAAAAGGGCCCGGAAGGAAGCGAGGTCCTTATCGCGAGTCCTACTGCATGGAGCGAAGGATCGAGCGCACCCCGGCAAAGTCCAATTCCTGTAAAGTCTCCTCCCACAATTGCTCTCGGGCGGTCTTGCCCTGCGGTGTATAGATGATGTTGGCAAAGCTTTGTCAGCGAGCGGTTAGCGAGGTCCATCGACGAAAGGGCATGGGCAGTCAGCACTTACGGAAAGATTTTCCAGTCCATCAAGTAACTTCCGTGAGTCTCTTCTCCTCGAACGACGGCCGCATCAAGGTATGTTGACGCTCCGACGTCCAGAGTTCTCCCCGTCAAGCTCTTTCCCACTTCTGCTATCGTTTTGATGAGACTGCCGACGTGGCGGTGAAGTCCTGATCCTTTACAGAGACCCGGGTCGACGAGGTTGACGACGACGTCTTCCCTTCGGACGTGTTCGGCGAGCTTGATGATGAAGAGGTGACCCAAGAGCTTCGACGTCGAATACCGATCCGTGGCATTGAAAGCCTTCTCGTCGTCAAATGCGGCTATCATGGGAACTTTGTCCTGCTCCGGGAACTTGGCCATAAAGGCCGTACCCGAGTTGACGATTGTCAATCTACTTGGCTGGCCTGGAGCTTTCTTGGACTTCAAGACTGGCAAGAGAAGGATGGCGAGGAGGGCAGTCGACAGATAGTTCACCTGGAAGACTTGCTCATGGCCTGCCGGCGAGAGCCTAAAGTCTTCCTGAACCATGCCGGCATTCAATATGACGTAGTCGATCCGGGGCAAGGTGGAACAGCGGTTGGCAAAGTCCTGGATGGACTTGTATGAGAGCATGTCCAGAGACCAGACCTCGACCGTAGCGTCGGGATGGCTTTCTCTCAGGGTCTTTGCGGCAGCCTCTCCTCTTTCAGCGGATCGAACGGCGATGATGAGGCGTGAGAGATTGTGATCGAGCAGCTGGCGTGCGGCAGTGAAGCCCAGCCCGATATTGGCTCCAGAAACGATAGCCGTCTTCCCGGAGAGCGAGAGGTCCTTTGGTGGTGTTCGGACTGTGGCACAGAACTGGGAGTTAAGGAATAGTCTGCCTGGCCCCATTGTCAGGGGAGTGAGTTCAAGTGAGCTCGTCATGATGAGTTGTGAGGTGATGTGAGAAGAAGTAAGGTGTTGTGGTTGTTGCGGTTGTTGATGTGATTGCATTGATCTGTGCAGAGCAGCATGTTGAGATTCATCATCGGATTCGTGCTGAATATATAGCTTTCAAGTCGTCTGAGGTATGAGCAGCTTCAATCTTGGGACGTAAGGCAATTTGCACTCTTGAACGCGCGTAGACCGGAGGGCAGAGGCACTGAAACGCTAGAGATGGCTGAAGTTGAGGCATCGTGGATGCCTGGTGATGGATTGCTGTCTCGAAAGGGAAGACCGACTGGTTACCTAATATGGACATCAATCAAGTGTGAGAAGCAGGGCTTGTCCAAGACCGGAAAGCAATCGGTGTGTGGACGGCGTGTACGGATCCCCCGCCAGTGCCTTGGCCCACTAAACCGCCGGATATCACGTGGCGGAGCGGCCGCCAGCGAGCGGGGCTGAGGCCGGAAGGATCGGCGCTAGGCCGGAAGAAGGCAACAATCAGTACTCGGCGAAGGGACTTTGGTCGTGTCGTGCCAGCTTACTTTATCGAAGTGAGGGGGAAGATTGGGCCAGGATAAGGCAAGATTGCAGGGTAAATCCGGCCGTCTTACGCTTGGTCTTCGTTGCCTTTGAACGCTCCGTGACCCGTTTCCTCGATTGTTTTCCCCTTTGGGTAAACAGTTCTTCCTCCCTACCGGTCTTCTCACTTCAAACTCAGCTCGAAGAGCATCCCAGAGCTCGTTTCGACTGCACCCTTAGCTCCGTCAGGTCTCCATCAAGCCATTGCTGATTACATACGAGAACTCCACTCGATCATTCACTGGAAGAGGCAATAGGACCCTTGAGATCCGCTGGGTTGAAGATGGGAAACCAGAAACGGCCTAGTATGATCTCTAATCCATCTACCCATGACCATCCACTCTAACGTTGCTACTGCAGCCAGCAAGGGATTTGCCTTTGTCATCACAGATACATCTGGAAAGCCCACGACAGACGATCGGAAACTCATACGCAGTCATGTCATGCGAGGCAAGAATACACGCCCGTCTCGTGGCGGCCAAAAGCGCTCGACCAAATGGGTCAACCAGACTAGTCCTCAACCCCCACAGGAACCAGAGGAACCACCTGCGCCCAGGTCACTCACTGCTCTCGTTAAAGAGCCGAGAAAACAAAAGCTCTACAAAATTGCCTGGTACGAGCATGTATTTCGCACACCCAATGACCTTTACATGTTCCAATTTGCCGACGATATTGACGCGGCCTCCCGAGGCATGCTATTCGAATGTGTGTTTGGTCCCTGCTCCGAGTTTGTCGTTATGCTCACCTGGTCATAGTTTACGCCGTCGTTAAAGAGACGATGTACCCCATCGAATGGTGCCTGCAGTACGACGAGAGCAAGACGCCGTGGTTCTACTGGCTTCTAACAGATGCCGCGTTTCTGCACTCGATTTTATTCACGGTAGGATTGATGAACGACACTGTCAAAGGAGACAGCCCAAGCAAGCACACCAACTTCCATATTTGGAAGACACTCCAGCTGTTGAACCAAAATATTGCGGACCAAGACATGGCTTTGGCCGACTCGACCATCGCCACGATTGTGTCCATGTGTATGGTGGCCGAAATCTTCGGACAGCGCGACAATGCCGCCGCACATATACAAGGCATGCGTCAGATAGTGAAGCTAAGGGGCGGAATCGAAAGCTTCTCTCACAATCTTCAATTACAGGTCAAGATCTGCCGGTACGTGCCATTCCTCGATATCTCATGCCCAACATCTGACGAAGCAAAGGGTGGACATTGGCTGGAGTTTATGCACCGGCGAGAAGCCGCTCTACTTCCGGGATACCTTCTCATGGGAGCCTGCTTTCTCCCCTATACTGGGCAAAGTCCCTGTTGGCTCCGAGGTCTGCCCTGGCTCTTCAAGCATACGACTTCTTTTAGACGCCGCCGACAGTCGCTTGGGCAACATCTTCCAAGATCTCCACGACTTCTCCCGCCTGGCGACCGCACTATACCACACCAATCGCAAGATTGACCCGAACCTATTTCAAGAGTTCATGACTTGCGTTCAATACCGGCTGTTGTATTCGGAGACCACAGCACACAATGCCTTGGCCGAACTAGGTCGCCTTGGGATGATCAGCTACATCACCACCCTCTTTCTCCAGGTACAAGGTGCAAAATTCCAGTTCACCTCCTTGACTACCAAGCTTAGGTCAGCATGCAAGAACCTCGAGATCTCAGCCTCTACATGCGCTGCCACGAAACTCCTACTGGCCTGGAGCCTTGTTATCGGTGCCATATCCGTCTTTGAAGAGCAGGACGACCGTTGGCTTTTGCCGAAGTTGGCCAATCTGCGAGACTCTCTGGGACCTACATGGCCCGAAGCCAAGGCCAAGCTCGAGGATGTCATTTGGACCGAAAATGTCCATGATTCTGCCGGTATCAAGGTTTTCGAAAAGCTAGTACTACACGTCGCCAGAATTCCGAGAGCCAGCACATAGTGATGGTCTCGAGACGCAAGCACATGCCACTTGAACAGAAGTAGGCGAGCTTCACTCCGGCTGGATAGGTGTCTGGGATCTGTCCAGTTCTAATGCAGACAATGCGAAGCGGTTGGAGGCCGTCGGAGGCCGTCGATTGCCAATCTACCATGTCTAGACCGCCACGTTGAATCCAGGAGTTGATTACACCATCTTACCTTCTACGAACACCTAGTCCAGAATCCATCGTCGGTCTCAAGCGCATCTCGAGCCGCATATTACACAACTCACGATTTTAAGCTACTAGTAATGCCAAGCCCAGCCTACCGTTGCCCCTCTCGACTATTTACAGCTCAAGACCTCGACCTATTACAATGGCCCTTTCCTTCTGGATCCTTCAGGAAGCATCAAATTGACATGAGATTGACAGCTCCTCAACTGACCCGCGGCTGTTACCGACCGCGACGTGGTCCATCTGTACGCGTCCTCTTTTGGGGACTTTCGTCAAGAAACCATATACTGCCCTGCTTAAATCTCACGTCAGCCTAGCCGACCCCTCCCCCACGGTAGCATGGCTAAATCTCTCGGGTTCCTGTCCAATTAATAGTCACTGTTTAGATTCTTAGATGAGCGCTGCACGCTTTGGCAGCAGATCCCCTTCCGCGCATAGCATTTACGGGACATACATAAGCGCCGTTGTGACCTCACACTTCGCAATGTCAACCAACATTCCATATCGAGAAGTCAACCACAATGGCATCACTCGAGGCATCACCAGAGTTCCGGGGGTCTCACCCCACAGCATCGACGCTGGAGCAGATCGCTTCAGATGCACCCAAGCTGAAAAACCTCACAACGAACTTCTCCCATCTTTTGGTATACACGAACTCGGCCGAGAAGTATGAGGAAGTTCGAAGCTTCTTCAACGCGAACATGACCCAACAGCCGTTCGCAATCATCAGGCCGAGGACCGAAGCTGAAGTCGTGGCCGTCATCAAGGAGCTGAAAGCTCAAGACATCCCATTCGGCCTCAGGAGCGGTGGGCATGACTTGACATTCGGGCAGGCACAGGGCCAAGACGGCGTCATCGTGGATCTGAGAAGTCTCGACAGCATCCTCATCGCCGAGGATAAAAAGTCCGTCCGCGTTGGCGGCGGCATCCTGGGCATCAAACTCGCGCGCTTTCTGCAACAGCACAAACTCGTTACCCCCCACGGCTGGTGTCCGACCGTCAGCATCGCTGGCTGGGCTATGGGGGGTGGTTACGGATACACGAGCGCTTACCATGGGCTAGGCGCTGACCAAATCCTCGGTGCGCGTGTGGTTCTCGCGAACGGCGACATCGTCGACACGAACGATCATCCTGATTTGCTCTGGGCTCTTTGCGGCGCTGGCAACGGCAACTTTGGTGTTGTAGTCGAGCTGCAACTCAAGGCGTATCCCCAAACAGGCTTCTTGGCGGGCTTTCTCGGATTTCCCAATGATCAAGTTGGCGAAGTGTTGAAGAAGTTTGGTGAATTTGAGAGGAATTTGCCTGTCAATTTCACTGGCGAAGCCACTCACATGGCTCTCCCAGGCGTTGGTCCCGTATTTGCCTGGCTGTTTGCTTGGACGTCTGAGAATGATGACCTGGAAGAGGGTTGGGCTTTCTTTGAGAAGATGAAGTCTCTTGGCACGCCAGTTCTTAACACGGTGGCAGAAGGTATGTACCGCAGCCCTCCTATACAGACGACAATAACTTATTAGGCCTGCAGTGGACGACTTTACGTTTTTCAATGCAATCCCCTCGCCGACTAATGTCCATTGGTATCCTCGACTGAGGATGTTCGAATATTTCACTCCAGGAACAGCCACTGCGTTCGGCAGCAATTCACCACCGGGTGCAACCTCGGCTACTGTCATCCATGCCGCTCATGGTCGAGCCATCGAGGCGAACCCGTCAGTGTGCTATCCTCTGCGCAAGAGGCATCGCATAGCAGCTCCCTCGGGTGGTGTCATCGATACCACCGCACAGGCGGCGGAATATGAAGAGTATAAGAAGTGGGCGGATGATTTGGTCGACTCCCTCTCAGAACAAGGCCAAATGCTTCCATACGGGAACCGTAACCTGGGCCCTGAAAGGGACATGGATTGGGTATCAACATATGGCGAGGACACCCTGTCAAGGCTCAGGGAGATCAAGCAGAAGTTCGACCCGGAAAATGTCTTCAAAACGGGGTATCCGAAGTTAGCATAAGTTGCGATTACGGTGCGACTTGAAGCTACCACATATGAATAGCATTGGTGTTGGTCGTACGGTGGTCATAATTGTTGAATAAAATACAGTAGGCGAATGTTACATACCTATGCCTCTTAACACAACCAGCGGATTGATGACTAGTTTGTCTGTGGCACTTTGTCTTCTGAAACGACTCAGTCAGCCATTTTGAAGTCCCTGGTGCCCCCAAAGAATTATATGCCGTCGTTCAAGTCTTTCTCTTGTCACCTTGATACGCAATGAAGCGAATCATGAGCCAGGAGGCAAACCTCATTCCCTGAAGTTGTCGATCTGACCGGCCATTATCATGGCTGGTTCTTTACCGCCTCAAGTATCCACAGAGACGACTCTGAGCAACGTAAACTTTGCTTTAAAGCAAGCAAGCTAGCCATCTGACGATCTACTGCATGCAATTTTATCAGGAGCCACGTATATGTAAGCCTGTCCTAAACTCCGATTTGTCATGATTTCATAATGTGTCCAGCTCACAGTTGGGACTAGAATTTGGGCCTCGAATCGCATAGTAAATGCAAATAATTACAATCCGTGTCAAGAGCACCACTGAATTGCAGCTTAGTCTCATTCAGTTGGACCGAGAACAATAGAGCGTAGTGGCAGGTTCCTAACTTCCCTTCCGACGGTCATTTTAAACCCGTTGTCACGAGTCTTCTGTTTCTGGTGCCAACCAGACGCCGCAGATAGCCTATGACTTAACACTAGCATGCGCCTGTTTTCGGCGAAGAGAGCGAGAAAAAGAGCGACACCAGCCGAGCCTGGAGAAACCGTTGCAAGTAGAAGTTGGATCGGACCATCGTGATTGCCCATGATGGCGTTCGTTTCTATCGTATCGATGGCCGGACCTGGTCGGGGGTTGGATCTTGACGGTCAGTCCGTTCAAGTCAAAGATGGCTCAGACGCTGGCATCGGGGCACAATCCTAAAAGAGTGAGCCGCAGCTGCGGGATCAGATAAATACTGATTCAAAATTTCGAGGTGTTTACGGAAAGCGTGCACGGTAGAAGTGAGGTGGGTTGAGTGAACGACTTGAGGTTGAGGTACAAGTGCCAGAATGCCAGGAGCTTGATAAGACTGGAACTTTTGTTTCTATCAAGGGGAGCGCTATGCTGTCGCTACTTACTCTGTAGCACCTGTCCTAACAGAACACAATCCGACATCAAAATGTCAGTCCAGCTACAGCATTACAGATGCACGGCTCAAGCAGACAGGCTTTGCATTACCGATACACTGTGCATACTAAGCTGCAGATGCGGACGGCCTTTTACTGTCAATGGTTAGAGTTTGGAGAGCTGTGCGGGATAAGCTAGGTAGAAGCATCTCCAAACCCCTCACTTCTGGGACTAGTCTGATAGCCGGGTGAAACTTGTGCGGAATAGACCGATCGGCCCGGACGGAGGACCATCTGCGGTTCGAGTTTCGGCTCTAGCTTGTTCCCTCGTGACTGTACGCTAGAGATTTGCAGTGTAGTGATACTTGAAGCCAATCAGCTGACGGTGGGTTAGCCAAGTAAGGGATTGTCAAGAAGAGGCAATGACCCCAGTTCTGAGTGGCATGATTGAGCAGTTGCTCTAAACCCCAAAGTGTGACTACTCGTTGCCGGCAACTCAAGAGGGTCAACTGCGCCACACCTCCTGTGAGAAGTAGGGTAATGAGTGGCACGGGTGGAAGAAATTGGAGAGGGACAAGGACAGAAACTTCAATGTCCGTGGAAATTCGTGGAGATTGTGCTCCGAAGAAGATGATAACCCATGCGCTAAACTAGCGTCGAGTGGTGGTCCAGAATTGTGATCGCTAAGCAGAATGGGATTCTTTCAAATCGAGATCAGGAATTCCATCGGAGTTTAAAGGGTCACAGACAATCTTTGCTCCTGAAAAAGGCTCGTCCATTGGAGCGTAATGCACCACGGAAATATTGGCAAGCCGCAAAGATAGGACGATGCAGTCCCAGGATTCCAGAACTCGAATCGTAACTGACAATTCGATTGACCTAGGAACCGTCAGGATTGGGCCGCGAAGAAGAACTCCCGTCTTCCAACGAAAGGCATCTCAATGAAGCAACCCAGTGATGACGCGGTGGTGGAGAATCGCCAACAGCCCAGAGATTTCAAGGGCCATTTGACGCTCACCAGCTCGTGGCTGCGACGGCACATGTAAGATGAAAGCCTGTTTGACCTGCCTCGCGGGGTCGAAACTGTGGCTCGTCGTCGCGTCCAAGCCGGGGCTCCGAGGCACACTGGCACACTCCTCCTTGCAGGTTCGCCACTTCAAGGCAAGCCACATTTCCGATTTGCTTCCTCTGGTAATTATCCAATGGCATACCTCGGACACTCGGGATGGTAGATCAAAGTGGCACAGTGGGTATGCCACGGGAATGATCGAGCATGGACAAGAGGGAGATTCCATCTTAATTAGTGGATTACAAGGGCCCAACTAGCCAAGCACAAGTAAGCAGTTCCTGGTCGACCCGGCATGCCTCTGATCGAAAGCTAGCCATTGAGACATGTCTATTGGTTCACTTCTCTACGGAAACAACTCCGTGAGCTGAGATTCGGCTCGTACCACTACGAGCCCGGAGGAAAGCTCCCGCGCCCCCCTGCCTTACCAACGAAAGCAGGTTACGGAAACCGTGTAGGATAGTGCCTCTCCGTCATCGTACATGTTGACATCGCAAACACCTCCCCTTATTTTCTCTACCCCATCGTTCTTGGCCAACACATAGGCACCTAGGGTTCGTTGAAGCCGCTTCCCTTCGTGCTAGCATTATGTTGGTATAGCCGAGCCAAGCCAAGCCAGGAGGGACGGGAATCTGCACACTACCTACTGCGTAGACGCTACTTACTCTCATAGTGGCAAACACTCTTTGCATCCCGCACCTCGGCAGCTGTTATGTGACAAGGCCTCAAAAGTCAAGGCTCACGGGAGTCAAGGCCCCTCTTCGACCTTGTTGAGCTCGGCCGAAGCCACCCCGCTGATTAGTCCATGAGCTTCTCAAGAAGCACAGCTTACCCGAACTGCGGTACGCTGATCTTATTACGGGCACTGGTTCCACCGTACAGGATCCCTCTTCTTGGCTTGCCGTGTCTTGCCTTGGTGCCGCCGTGCCATGAGGTGCTTGTCCTAATCGGGCCCAGGGACAAGACCACAGACTCTTTGCCCCCCCACCTCGTCTTCCGCGAATTAGTGCTGTGTTCCTTTAAAAGGATCGTAGGACCTCGTCACGAACCCCTTGACGCGGTACGTGTGTGTGTTTCTCGTTTCTAGCCACTTTCGACTTTCTTCAAATCGTTATTGTTCTTCGCCAAAGACAGGCTTATCGTCCATCTAATACGCACAATTAATCAGTAACACCAAGAATTACCTTCGTGATACCACCATTGCTTGCTTAAGCTTTCGTCTCCAGCCAAGGCTAGCCTAGCCAGTCGAGACAACCCTGTTCTCCCCCTGCCGTCCCCTGTAAGAGTCGCATCGCAGCGAAAAGAGAGCTCGAGATGGCATTCTCCGGCAGCAGTGTAAGCATACCTCAACAAAGTGGGTTATCCATTAAATATTCCTCAATTTCAGGCTGTATCCTAACTTGAACATGTAGACCAGACTATAAGTGACTTCGAGCAACCTCAATCACAAACAGAGCAGCAGCACCAGCAGCAACATTCACAACAGACATTCGGCAGCAATGATCTACAAGCGACTTTCGCCTCGTCCCAGGTTCCAGCCGCGAATCCTCCTTTTGAAGTAGACCGCCGGTCTTCGGCCTCAACACAAGGGCAAGGTCCTCATTCATGGCAAAATTCTCCTGCCAGCAATCAGGCAGAAGGATTAGCGTCACCAATAAGCTCCGTCATCTCACCACATAATAACACAAATCCACCGAAACTCCCACCGATTGATCCTCTGGTTTTCGATTCCGCAAGTGAAACGAAACCATCTTTACCAATCGAGGCGATAGAATCTCCAAAGCGACGCAGGGGGCGACCGAGGATTTCCGAGGATGATGGACTAGATGTTGTCGCACCAAAGACAGGTGCAGAAGCACGGCAGAAAGGCAGCACCCGACGAGCCTCAAACACATCAACGAGCGGCGCCATCGGCACAGGTGACAAACGCAGCGGCGCCGAAGCCAAGAAGAACAAGATCCGAGCACGGAATCGGGAGGCAGCTTACAAGTGCAGAAAGAAGAAGCAAAAGGGAGTCGAGGAGCTACAGACCCAGGAGGCGATGGCCGAAAACATCAACAAGAACCTCAACGACGAGGCTGCGTTGCTCCGAGGCGAGATCCTCATGTTGAAGACCATGGTGCTTCAACACGGTAGCTGTGGGTGCTCTTTTATCGAGGAGTACATTTCTGGCGCGGCCCAAAACTTGGTATCATCGAGCATGGCCGGGGGCGCTTCGGCACCGGCGTCTGGCGGAGGAGGGATGCAAATGGATAACCTACCATGTCCAAACGGTACGAATGAAGGGGAATCATACGTCGACTGGAAGATGTTCGACGTGGATGCGGAACAAGGAGTCCCCTCGATGGGCGCAGAACACAGCTAAGAGCTTCTCCGGTCTTGACGACATCACCGCCCAGTGCGCGAGGGTATGGTTCCGGATGGAGGAAGTCGCGGTCAGGATGTATCAGGGACAGGTAAAATTACATGGAAAAGGCGTTCGGGACAAGGTAGAAAAAAGGCTGTTTGATCAGGCGATCACTCGAGGGAGGGATGAGAACAAGATACCCTACGTACGTGAGCTTAGTAGGCCATTACTGGTACATGTATTTGACGCTCAATAAGCTACTGAATTTGGCAGGAATAAATATGTCAATCGTCGTTGTCTGTGAGACAAATAGATGAACGAAATCAGAAACATGACGTCTCTCTACCTGCTGATTTGAAAAGAGAGTTCTTCCTAGCGAGTAGAAACAGCCGTCGTGGAAAGTCCCCGGTAAGCTTTGATCTAGCTGCTGTAATAACGTTTCCTCGTGTCCCGTAGCGCCTTCTCTTGACTGGCTGATACGATGTATCGCCATCTTGAAGAAGATCATAGTATTCTGAGTTTGTGGTGGTTGCTGGACCTAGCATTGACCATTCTTGAAGGCTGTTGTGAGGCGCTGCCTCCAACTTCACTTCAAATGCCAGTGACAAACTCACCGTACTATGTTGATATACTTTCTGTCTCTTCACGACTCAGGCTTCTCGTCACATGCTATGTGAGAACGCACTATTATTCTTATTCATCCGTTTAATCGTTGATGATAATGAGGAGCATTCATCAGTTCCCGTCGCAATCTCATCTCCTAATGATGCTTAGCCAATTCGTAGGTCATGTTCACGTACACTGGCGTACACTGTCGAAGAAGCTCCAAGTTGTCTCTCATACATATAGAATTGAACATGATGGTCAGCTCTGGAGCTGCTGGGACTCGATGGCCTGCCAGAAGTCTGGTATGGTCATTGGAGTCATTTCCGAGTGTCCCTGACATGAACTTTTTGGCCTGAAGCCCGTCGTCTTCTTGGCATTTCCCCATCATCATGGTCTCGCCCGTCTCAGATTTCTCTGCTGAGACCCGTCTGCATCGTGCCGCAGTGCTCTTGACGGAAACCTAGCAGGATTCAAAATCGCCACCAACGTATTCCTACCTCTCGGTCGACATCGGCCTTGGGCCTAGTGAACGGATTGAACACGTGCAGTAGTCCCTGATCTTTGGACAGGGTGCTTCCCTCCCTTCAGGCTCGATCCAAAAACATTTTGGAGAGAAGCGGGGTTTGAACATGGTAATGAGGTGCTCTAAGCTTTCTGGGGAGTCCGAGGTGTTGTGCCTCGAACTTTAAAGCTCAACTCTGGTCGGGGAATCGGCAGCCAGTCGCACTCACGGGTTCGTCGGGTCGCAGCCGCTGTGCCACGACAAATTCCGCAACTCTTCAAAGGCAGACAAAGTGGGACCGTATGCCAACTTCATCACTGAAGAGGACAAGAGGCACACAATAGGTAGGTAAGCCTTGGGGAACACCAGAACGAGAATTGAGCAGCCTTCTTCCTAAGATTTGAAGCACAGGGCATTGTCCCATGTTTACGAAGAACCGTGTTGGAAATAGGTGCACCTTCCGTGCATATTTCCGATGTTGAACCCTGGAAACTATGAGGATTGAAGCAGAGGCCAAGCCCATCATCCTCAGATTTGACAAAAAACTTCGGCCACATTGGTTTGCGACAAGGGTAGACCATGATATATACACGTTCCGAACGCTCCTAACATCACCAAAACCTGCCGGATTGCGAAATGATTCGCCTTGTGCCGAGCGATTCGCAAGGCAGAGTTCCAGACTGCATGCTTCTGACACCCTGCCGCCGAAAAGTACCAAGTCGCCCTGTGAGTTGAACGCCGGTCGATGCCACTAGGTTTGCCAGGCAGAGAGTATTAAGCGCGAGACTGGTCGTAGAGCGTTCGCGACAGACGATGCTCAAGTCATCTCTCACATCCAACGGCCATGCGACAGTTGAGTAAATATCTAGTTGCTCAAGTTGCGCCAACATGTCGACGCCGCTCCTTCCGGTGTATTTCGAGCTAAGCTGGTCGATTTTGAGTACCATCGGTGCCACCAACGTTATGCTTGGCTTCCTCATCGCCGGGATCACAACCTTCTCCCAGATAACCGCGGTGCCAATCGTATCGTCAGCTGCTGGCGCTATCGCGAACGGACTCTGCTACTACGCATTCTACGATGAGACGTATTCCCTCAAGAGCAAAGCAGCGGCGTCGGTGTTTGGTGATATCTTCTGGATGGTGAGATTAGAAATCAAAGGTGTTCCGCGTACTTTATGTTAACATTGCATATAGATTCAGGAAGTCGGTTTATCGTTCTACAGTTACGTTCTTCTCCGAAGAATCTTAAAGGACTTGGGCTGGAAGATCTTCAACAGCTTGTTCTGGATCATGGTTCTCTCAATCATATCATTACGCATCATGATCGCCGTCTCGCGTGCCAAATTTATCTTAAGAGGCAACACGAACCTGCAGAGCACCGTCAACAACCTACACATCGGCTACTTTGTTCTCATAGCTTCGCTCGAGTGTATCAGCTCCTTTTTCTTGCTCAAGACGTTCGCCGAGGTCAAGTCGACATCGTTGAGAGCAGCATTGAAGGGAGGTCTGTTCAAATATCTAATGCGAAGCACTGAAGTCCGGCTTGCGACGCTGGCTTTGGTTGGAACAATGAGAGCCGTCACATATTCTTTTCAAATTGCTGCTCAGAGTGCTACAAACGCGGCAAGTCAGGTTGACCGCTTCGCTTATACACTTGAGTGCCTATTCCCTGTAGTCATGTTGTGAGTTACACCCCTATACTCCCACGTGTTGCATAGTGCTGCTGTCTAATATTACCTGTGTAGCATTGACATCCTGGCATCTAAACTCGTCTTCACGACACAGGTCTATCACCCTACACAGCCAAGTCGATTGCCTATCCGAGGATTTGCATCGTATCAGAAACAGAATGATTGGTATGCTGCCACACAACACAGCGAGAGACTAGTCGAGGTTCGCGGTGGCAGGCGGACAAGCTCTCAGGAAAACATCATCAGCGCTAGCTCGTCCAGATCCAACATCAGGCTCGACGGAATTGAACCGACGTCGCTGGGAGGGATCAACAAAACGGTGGAGATCAGCGTGTTGCACTCAATGCCGGCAAGACCAGACACCCAGGCGCACTTCTTAACATCTCCATAGCAGTTTTTCAACATGTGGAAACCTAGCTTAACTACGTAGCCTTTGCCACGTAGTCGATACGATCTAGCAGAACAGCATGGCGTACAGGCTGAAAATATATTGATGATACCCTGCAATTTGTTACCCTCTTCACTTTTCTCAAGCAAATCATACCAAGGTGACAACAGACTTTGCAGAAGCCAGTAGGTCCGCCCCAAATGTTGCTCCGTCCTGGACGAGCATCCCAATTCTCCTCATACAACCAGGTCGATCCTCCGAAGGGACCACAAGTAGTGCATGAGCACATGGATCCTTCCGCTCGGGATCTGCCTTGAAAGGAGTGCCGTAGGTGAAGGCCAGAACGACAGCACTCAACTCCACTGAATTGAGGAGACTTCCGCTAGCAGCATAGTCCCGGTCAATCGTATCTAGCATTGCGTAGAAGTCAGTCGCGCCCTTCTCGGTCCTCAGAAGTATGTGTCCTGTCGGGCCTTTGTTGTCGGACACGACCATCTTCACAAGCGGAGCTTCGAGCTTAATCCAGCCGTCTTTGACACGACCAAATGGATTTTCGCCGTCAATCTCGACCTTTGCCTCAATGATCTCTGCATGAGGTACACTCTCACCCAAGAACCCCGTCGCAGGAGTACCATCGACAGAGGCCCATGACCACGACGGAGCGCGGTAGCCCCCCGAAGCAGGCTGGCAGCTCAGTGGCTGCCAACACAACCCCTCGATTAAGGAACCTCGCCACAGTCCTGCTAGATACTCGTCGTCGAGTATCCTGCTGAAGGTCTTCGCCACACCGGAGAATGCAGGCAGTTTATCAGCAGGGTTTGTTAGCTCCCTAGGTCCGTACTCGCGCAAGAGGTGAGACCAGGCCTTGAGAGAGGGTGTGGAGCGGTTGAAGTCTTTGTGAAGCTCTGCCTGCTCCTCGGCGCGCTTCTCCACATGGGCAATTACTTCTGGGTCGGGATTGACACAGGGTAGTCGGCGTGGGAGTTTGAGTCCTTCTTCGGCGTGGAATCCCTCGAGACATTCCCAGTACATTTGTTCGCTTCCAAAGTGTAGTATTCTTCGGGCAAGAACACGCTCTTGGAAGCCCCAGGCTCTTCTTGTCAGAGGCTCCTCCCTCATTTGCAAGTGGTACTCATGGATGATTTCTTTGTGGAGAGGTAGAACAGACGCAAGGATGAATGTGTCTTCGTTGCTGGAACTTGCCCGAGGAAGCTGGAAGTATGTCCTTTTCTTCCGAGGCGAGAGGAGGCCTCCACTAATGTCAGAAGACTTTGTGGCCGCAAGAGTGAGGTAGGAATTAGAGTAGACTGCAGCCATTTGACCCGACTCTCGCTCCCAGTCTTTGAGATCATCCTGGCAGATGCAGAGACTGTCGATCCAGAGATACTGAACTCCGAGTTTTCGAGTAATGAAGACTGCATCCTGAAGGGTCTGTGGTAAGGAGTCCAGCAAGAAACCCTCCTTTCGTGCTTGCATTGTTTCGTTTGTTGTAGTGAATTGCTTCGATCCTTGACCCCAGCAGTAGCTTAGAGTAATGTATCGATCGCGGAGATCAGCACCTGGCTCGATGAGTTTGATGGCGGGACCGGACTCCAGTGTTCCAACGTCAAGTACACGACTTGGTAGAGGTGACATCCCGCGAGTACTACAATAATCATGTTCGTTGCACTTCTCAAGCCAGTCAACAGCTCGACGGAGTGTCGCCTCGTCTGGAACTTCTCTCAACACGCGACCAGAAGAACCGGTGGTGCGAGGATCATCTAAGTCACAGATGAGCATTAATATCAAGAAGTTGAAGTTGAGTAGGCAGTGGAGAGAAACTCACCTTCATCCGAACTGAAGCCGATGGACGCAATCGGGACGAGCCACTTGTCGCTCCCCCACGAGCTTCTATTCACCACCCAGAACCCATCGCCGGATATTTCAGACTCTGATCGCTTCGTCAGCCACATATCCCAGCTGGGCTCGGTCTGCATCAGACCGCGTCTCGGCTGGGGAAGGCCTGCGATCTCCTCAATCAGTGCATCGGCTTCTCTCTCGATGATCCGACAGAGTTCGCAACCGCCAGAGGCAGCTTGGCGGAGACTCTGGAGGCTTGCATGGTACTGGACGCCGAATCTTTTGATGGGCGTGTCTTTCTCAATCAGTTGACTCTTCAATACCAAGTGATGAAAGCGTGGGTAGCCGCTTAAAGTCTTCATGAAATTTTCATTCGGAAAGGGAGGGAGATCCTCCCATGGGATGGATTTGCAAAGGTCGCAGAGGGGCATTATGAAGGCAAGATTACTTCTCACGACGGAATACAGGCAAGTGAAACGAGTTGGACGGAACAATATATGAGCGGTATGTTATCTTGATGTTTAAATATTAAGATTCGATAATTTAGAGTAGCTTTTTCCGTTCATTTTAATCTCGATGAAGCCTAAACGTGGCGGACTCGCGAACCATTTGGTTCTGCCTAATACGCACACGTGAGGAGCAATCTGATGCGAACTAAAAGTCCTTTGGACCAATCCTGTGCCGATCGACCCGAGATGCGGTTCTCGTGCATTTAAACTATTTTTTTTTCTTTTTGACAGAGAGATGACAGAACCGCGAGTTTCGCCGTCCAGCAATCACCGCGGTCAACGATGAAGTCAAGCGAAGCTTTCTCTAGTGTCGTACAAGGCCAGCTTGTTTAACAAAGGGCGCAATCCCGGGAAACTGGAGTCTGGGATCCAAGGTTGCAACACCAGGCAGAGCAGCATGCAGTAATTGGCCTCAATCATTCATGGGACTGGAGAATTAACCCCCAAAAGCGAACCCACGAATCATCATCCAGTCTCAGACCCGTTCTCAGTCACAAACAAGGTTAATTTAGTGTTGTCAGCTCGTTGCCTGTCGGCCAATTAGCCAGGCTCCCAGTCTGGCGCTTCAAGTCCCTGTCCATGCTCTCCTTCATCAAGACCAGCAAAGCGATGGCACGCTGGCAAGGGACTTTGGTATTTCCAGTGCAGCCGACGTCTGGCAGTGCATGAAGCTCTGCGTTATGAATCGTCACATCAGTCAGCCCAGCCCTATTAGCTGCAGGATACCATAGGCCGCAATTAGAGACCCTGCTGTGCCGCCTCCTTGGCGTCAACGTCTTCCAAGTCTCGTAGAGCGTATGGAGCCTGATGATTGCCAAATTTATGTCGGTCTTCCAGTCTGAGGTGAACTTGAGAATCCTACGCGTCAATAGAGACCGTATCATTGGACAGGGGAAAATTCTGACGAGGCCACCTTGGACATCAATGGAGCAGTGGGCATCTCGATGTCGGCGGTCACCTGGCATTGCTCCTCCAGCGGGCGAGAAGGCACAGTCGCAGATCTTGGCTCGTGTTCTGACGTCGAACCTGGGGGCCGATTCGGTCCTCAAAGTAGGTAGCCTCCAGAGTGGGTAAGAAGGACACGAGACTTTAGAGCCCTTGGATGGTCTCCCGTAGATTTGGAAAGTATTGAAACAAGACGAAGCGAAGTGAGTAAAAGCCTCGCCTTAGCGTGGGGTCGGATGTGAGCCCAGATATACATACGGCAAGAGACCCACGAAGCACTCTCGCTCGTTCTCTTGAACTCTTGGAACTTTGGTGTTTTTGACATCTCGTACTCCCCTACGCTCGTTTTGAACTGGAACAAAGGAAACTCCTCCCTCACAAGCCGCTCACCATGAACCGTCCAGCCGAGGCTGTTCAACCAGGGCTTGAAGTAAGCACACACTACGACAACACTCCTATAGCTATCGCCAATGGAGCAAGTCACTGGCAATCTTCCTCACAAAACGGCTCGGGATACAGTGAGCACAAGACGTTGGACAATGGCTACTCCTCGCAAGCCCCTGGAAGCCATGTTGGAGGACAGGAGGATCAGCGGCCGGGTCGGCGATTCCCGTGGTGTATCGCAATCACGGTGGCTCTAGTCGTTTTGATTCTTGGAGGTGTCATCGGCGGCGTGGCTGCATGGAGGGTGACGGTGAACCGGAGCGCACAATCACAAACGGGTGGTCCGGGATCGGTAAACGGCGATGCGCCATCGACGAGCGCTACTAAGATTATGCAGAACTCGGCTGTATCTGCTGTCGGATGGCGATACGGTTCCGACATCACCCTGCAAGTCTTCTTCCAGGGCGCAGACGGTTCATTGAGACGGTCTCAATACATGACCATCTATCAAGCCTGGACTCCCCCGATGGAAGCTGGGGCGGCCCCCAAAGTGGGCTCTCCTTTCGGCGCCGGTCAGCTATGGACCAAGCCCGATGAGGTTCGTATTTACCCTTTCTTCGTCGGTGGACCTTTCACTAAAGACGTCTTGTGAAGCCCTTGCCTGTAATCCCGCAGTCCGAAGTGTTCTATCTTGGATCGCCAGACAAGATTCTCGGCGTCAATTGGCGTGAAGGTTTCTCGAGAGGGGGCCTGACAGACAGCGTCAATGAGGCAGGTTACACCATCAGCAACACGGGAACACAGATGGCATCATACTGGCCGTCCACCATTATCCAGGCAAGCAACGGAGACGTCATGGAGGTTTTTTTCGATTACAAGTCGCCCAGGTTCCAAGAGCCCAAGATAGTTGGGGTCACGGCGTCTCCGGGCTCGGGACTGGTGATTCTTCCTCGAGAAGTAATCCACTCAGCTGGAGACCTGACATCCGCATCAAGCGCACGCATCATATACCGTAGCACCGACGGTCATCTACAAAACTATGATCGATCATCTGGTGGCCAGCAGCTCACCTCGACGGGCCAGCTACCGGTGACTGTCGACTCGAACTTTACCATGGCTGGCTTCGCGGTAGCTCGGCTTGATTCTAGCGGCCAAAAATCAGAGGCCCTCAACACATGGGTCCTGTACCAGGACTCCAAGACTGGCAAGATATCCTACGTGTATGAGGACGACACGACAGGGTGGAAAGGGCCAGAGTCGGATTCCGTCTTCGATGGTGCTGACAATCCAACACATATCGCCTGCGTCACAGCTGCGTCGGCAAAGATTCCGGAGGTGCCTCTGGAAGCATCGCATGACCTCAGTCATTGCTTCTTCCAAGCGAACCGGCAGCTGAAGCACGTCCACTTTGATGGCAGCAAGTGGGCAGATATGGGGTTCCTCCCAATACCATGAGATGGCGTCGAACCATTGTTGAATAGAGCGAGGAGTTTGGGACTTGTTTCTGTCGGTCAAGGCCGTAGTGCTGCCATTAGTACCATAGTTACAAAATTTGTCAATTTCATCCTAGAATGTCTAACGTTTGAGGTTGAGATGGCTGTCACAGCCTGGCACGTTGTCGTCCAACAGGCTGGCATTGGTCAAACGCGGTAAATTTTTGTTAGGTATCAACAGTTGCATATCGTACATGTGTCCCTTGTTTGCTTATTTCTCGAAGCGCTTGGCTACAGTCTTCCAGTTGACAACGTTCCAGATGGCGTCAAAGTACTCGGCCTTGCGGTTCTGGTACTGCAGGTAGTAGGCGTGCTCCCAAGCATCGATGCCGAGAAGAGGCTCGAGGTTGCCGGTGACGGGGTCCTGGTTCGCGCGAGTGACGACGCCGAGGGTGCCGCTGGTCTTGTCCTTGACCAGCCAGGCCCAACCGCTACCCTGGATTCCGGCCAGGGAGGTGTTGATCTGCTTGCGCAGGGTGTCGAAGGAGCCAAAGTCCTCCTCGATGGCTTGCTGTGGAACGTGTCAGTATCTTCTCAACGCAGAGTGTGGACTTGTTTCGAAGAGGTCTCGTACAGCCAGTTTGCCGTCGGGCTCACCACCGCCATCTCTGCTGGCAGGGGCAAGGTTCTCCCAGAAGAGAGAATGGTTGACGTGGCCACCGCCGTGGAAGTTGATCAAGGGAGCTTGAGCAGCAGCCTTGGCGTAGTCGCCCTTGGCGTTGGCATCTTCGACGGTCTCAAGAGCGGTGTTGAGGCCGTTGACATAGGTCTGGTGGTGCTTGGAGTGGTGAAGCTCCATGATCTGGGCCGAGATGTAGGGCTCGAGGGCGCCGTAGTCATCTGCGTAGGAGGAGGCATTAGCGCGTCTGTATCCTCGCAACGAATACGATGACAATAACGGCGTTACCTACAAGAGATGTCGGGCAGAGTAGCCTTGCCGCGAACGAAGCTGGTGCTGGCCAAAGCAGCAGCAGCAGGCTTAGCGGCACCAGCTCGCAGAGCTGTGCGGAGGACGGGCGCGGTACGGAGGAGAGTGGACGACATTTTGCGTATTCTATGTCTTTTGATTAGTGTCAATGATTTTGATCAAGTTTTCTGAGATGCTAAAGACCAAAGGAGCGAGGCAGTAAGGGCGTAAAAGTACCTTTTGACGTTGGATTGGCGGGTTGACAAATGCTGGTGCAAATCTCAGAATGATGTCAATTGCGGGAGGTTCGGTCGGCTATTACGTGAGGGAGCTCGGATCTCCAGAAAAGCTGCCTCTGGGCTACGGCTACCGAGCTGTTGTTGGCCGGGCTCGCTCTTCAGCGCTTTTGCGCTTCTCCCCGTCTTCCTCCAGCGGTTCCCCCGTCTACTGCTTTAGGTACTTAATCACCTAACCAAGCTTTCAGCGAATGAGAGACGTGGAGAAATGTCGTCATCCACTAAAAGTGGAGAGCTGTCACCTCCAGCTTCCATGGAGCTTCTGGTACACTCTTAGGTAATCCATCACGTCTCATTGGGTGCTCTTCTGCCTCCGCCTTACTCATGCATACACAGCCATAGCCTCACCTAGGGAATGTGGCTGGGAAGTGACAGACATGGAGGGGTCATGTGTGGCTGGGCTCCAAGAACCGCGTCTGCTGCATCGCCAGACGCGTCAAGCTTCACCAGCAGGCCCCCTCCCAGGTTCGATCTCATATCCCAGTTGTGAACACCCAGTCAAACGAAGCGAGGATCTTGTCAAAGAAGTCAACATGTCTTACTACGACATTGATTCCATTCTCACAGATGCCGAGGTATGCAGTGATTCCCTATATCATGCCCCTCTCCTCATGCCATTACCTTCACGCTTGGCATAATCGATGACCAAAGCTAACAACAGCCTAGAAAGTCCCCTGCAAATTCGAACTCGATGTTGCCGACCTCGGATACCTCGACAACAATCCCTCGCATGCTTTAAAGGCAGGAACCAACGTCAGCCTCCCTCTCTGGCTCGCCGAGATGCTTGCCCTTGCCAATGCAGGCACCGGCGACGACTCCAAGGCGCCCGTCACCTTGAACCTTCCTCCCTCACTCTCGAATCAAGTCGTACAAGCACTCAAGGCCGACGCGCGCTCAGTGCCGGTTAGAGACCAGAGCGCCCACTTCTACGGACTCGGCACTCGCATCCTGGATCTCTTCGACGAGCGCGACCTTAGCGACACCATGCGAAAGACGTTCATAGCGCGCGCGTCTGAGATCGCATTGCACGCCCGAAAAGGAGGTGATGATGGTGTTGGAGGCTCCGGTGAGGAGTTCCTCCGCGGCCTGGATGAGTGGGAGCGAGGACTTTTCCGAAAAGCTCACGACGGCACAAAGGCTTCCAAGGAATGGATGGATAAGGTCAAGAAGCATTGAGTAGCCAACTACGCCATCGACTTATATTTCAGACGCAACGATACCGTTACGGTCATGTCCTGGCTTGCTTTCGTTTGCCAACAACAGAGGACGGCTACAGGTTGTCACTGCCACGGATGCATAGTCTCCAGATCTGCAGTCGGCCTCTCGCAGAGACAACACGCTGGAGCATTGAGAACACTCTCCTAGCCGCTTCCCTTCCGACAACATGGTCCGCTTCGGATGGCGCAAGGGCGGAGACCGACGCAGCCATGCCAGCCGCGGGCTTTGAAGAGATGGAATGCACCAGTGCGCACTGAGTGGCTGCCACGCGAGAATCTGTAATATTTCGGACACAGCTATCAGAAATTCGCGGGATTCTGCGCCCGTAGGCCGAGTCGCGGGCGGAAGAGATGGAGGGGTGGGATTGAGGGGTGGCTGGGTGACTCGCGGGTTCGGCGTTGGGTCTTCGAGCCGATGTTGGTTCAAGGATGGAGTCATGTACCTTATTAATTGGGGTACGCGAGCAGCCAGATGTTAATCACTTTCAACAAGAGGCTGACGGTACTGCTTGATAGGTGCACAAAGTCCCAATCCAGAATCTTCAACTAGTCGACAAATATCGAGAGTATTCATCCGATAACACCAGCAGAATACAAACCGGAAATGCGCAATCCGGTGTTCTACGCCACAGCCTTATCGAGAAACCCCACCATCTCTACATCTAGTCTCTCGAGTGCGGGCGGGCCGGTGCGGGTCAGATAACAAACTCACCCGCAGGTCATCGGCGGGATCCGAGTTGACGACTCCACCACAATATATTTCACAAGATATAAAACCCTCTTCAGGGCCACCGGACTGCTACCTGAATTCAATTTAGACGTTGGAAGACAGCTGCCATTCGAAACAAGATCAACGCACTATCAAATTAAGAACCAATATTACTCCGAACTCTAGCTCGAAAATGGCCATCTCACAGACTCCGTCTCGCATAACCGTCCAGCCAATTGTCCCTGCTGCGGACTCGGATGTTGACTTTGGCGCTACTATAAGCAACGCTGATATTGAGAATCTCACTGGTAAGATATGACGCGAGCTTGATGCATTGAAAGCGATGATGTTGTACAAGTAGTGGGAGAATACCCGTGAAATCGGTAACCTCCTCTGGTAAGCTTCAAGTAATAAGACTCACAAATTCAGACCATTGGCTGACGATTTACAGATGCCGACTTTGATGTCATCCGTGAAGCTCTCTTCAAGCACCAAGTTCTCGTAATCAAGAACCAGGGACATGCATCTCCCAAGGCACAGTTTGAGATTACACAAAAGTTCGACCCTGACTCTGGTGAGAACTACGGTCACGGCAAGACCCTGGACGCCAAGCGCTCCATTCTGCACCCTGACCTGAAGACCATCCCGCACCAGCCTCAAGTCCAAGTCATTGGCAATGGCTTCGTCGAGGAGTACGAGGGTCTGAAGAACATCCAGCTCAGACACCCTCACCACCGCACATTCCACGCCACAACCATCCCTGATGAGGATGACCTGGATTTCACACGTTTCTACCGCTGGCACATCGATGCCGCGCTCTACGGTCTCGCACCGCCCGTCGCCACGACTCTCCTGGCAGTTCGTGTGCCCGGCGGCCGCAAGCAAACCCTCCGCTACGACGACGGCACCGACGAAGAGATGACGGTCCCTCTTGGTACCACAGCCTTCGTGTCCGGTTACGCAATGTACGACAACCTCTCGCCCGAGGACCAGGAGTTCGTCCGCACGACAAAGGTGGAGTACGCACCGCATCCCTACGTGTGGATGAGCAGCGCCAAGTCCCGCTCCACCGGTCTGGGCATGGTCTCGGAGGGCAAGGAGGTCCCGCTCGACGACCTGCCCCCCATCGACGAGGAAAAGATCCAGATCCTGCCCATGTGCTGGCGGAACCCCGTCACGGACCGGCTAGCGTTGCAGGTCCACCCCTCGGCGGTGCGGAAGCTGCACTTGGCGGACGGCACCGTGGTGGAGGACCTCGCCAAGGTGCGGGAGACGGTGCACCGCCTGCAGCGGCCGGGCATCTCGCCCAAGAACGTGTATGCTCACGACTGGGAGCAGGGCGACTTCGTCATTTTCCACAACCGCGGCGTGATCCACTCCGTGGTGGGCGCCTTTGCGGAAGATGAGGTGCGGTTGTTCCGGCAGTGCAACATTGCCGCCGCCCGGCTTCCTCAGGGACCTGTCGAAGTTGCCGCGGCTGTGTAGATCGACTATTGCTTTGGTTTCCGCTTTGTTTTGTATGACCTTGTAATGAGAGTTTAGCCCAATGAAATGATTTTTTTACGACGATCTTCATGAGTGATGCTCTGCGCTATTGAAGGCTAATTCTGCAATTTGACTCGAGAATCAAGACATGCTGCGGATACAACGGGTCCCCCATTAACAGTCTACTAACGTCACTGCACTTTCAACATCGTGATGAAATACCTCCTGTATACCCGACAAGTACGGGTAAGCTCGCAGCTAGCGTCACATTTGAGTCGACATGTCAAAACGCTCTGACTCACCGGCCTATTTGACGTTTTCCCCGCGATGTAATGGCACATGCATGTCGGGTCACACTGGTGAGCACGCCAACGAACGATCGGCATTCACGATCCGGAATCGGAGCCGGCGGCCGTGAGCTTCTGCCGAGACCTCTAACACCCCGCACCGAGCATTCCATGAGATGTCGTCTCGTACGATATGACGAAATCGTATGAGTGAAGGGGCAGAATTCACTACGAGAGACATGAAGATGGGAGAAAGGTTTCAAAGTGTGTCAAATGCGATTTGCGTGATGAATTAAATAATTTAACAGAAATCCGCCAATGCCTCCAGAGCCACCACACCCAGTGTGAGTAGTTGAACCAGGAGATATCCGATGAGACGCCTGACCCTAAACCGAGACTTTTGTTATGAGAAAAAAGAAGGGGGTATCATTCTAATCAGAGCCGAGAGCCCTTCGCTTCGCTGAAAGAAAGGATGAATGCAAGACTTGTGCAAGAGTTGAGCGGTCCATGTGCACAAATCTAGAGGTGCTTCCAGAACTTCCACTTTTGCGATTTTTGGGCGTGCTCCAGGTCGGTGATGAGGAACTTGCTGAGCTTCTTCCAGCCCTCTTCGGGAAGGGACTCGATGGAGTCGTTGAGCATGTCCATGCAATACTTGGTGGCTGAACAAGGTGTTAGCGAAAGGAAGCTCTTGTAAGAGGCGAAAAGTGGGTGTGTCAACATACGCATCATGTCCATGGCGTCCTCCCTATCGGCAGCAATCTCCATACGCGTCGAGTTGTAGCAGTGATATTGTTGCTGGAGCTCAAGCATGCATTCCCAAAGCTCTTGCAGGTTGGTATCCTCGGCGGAGGCGCGGCGGCCGCTGAGAGAAGGCCTGGACTGAGAGGTCTGTTCCACCGCCGTCGGGCCCGGAACGCACTCGGTCATGGTGACTGTGGCATCGGCCTTCTCGTTCGTGGCGCAGGGCCTGATGACGATATCGTCTTCGCTGTCGCTCTCGGGCCACGAGTAGCCTGAGCTGCTTCGCTTGGGGAACTGAGTTTGTGACTGACGGCCAAACATGTTGGGATGGTGTTGAGGTGTATGTGATCTTTGCGTGTATGGAAGTACAATGTTTAGTTGTTGATAGTTGAGATCAAGGTGATATGTGGTAGTAGCACGTCTGTGTGTGCTGGGTTCCGTCGTGTTGGTATTTGTACTCCTTTGAGGTGTGTTGCTGTAAGTGTCTGTGCTTAATGTTGACGTGAGGTGTCGATGGGTGCCCGATGTAAATATAGGGGAACCGTTCAGACGAAGAGCCAAGTGCCGTGCCAGGAATTGGGATCCGACGAATATGACGAGAGAGCAGTTCGAACGGGATCCCAAGCCCACTATATAAGCCGCGGGTGCCGGAACCCTATGCAGTGATCACCAATCTAAGGCTCAGATCGTTCGAGACGAGGCGCCCTAAAAATCTGAAGAGCGATGGCGATCAGACCCGCGGCGGCGCCCAACGGAACAAGGCCGATCCTTACTTACTCATGCCAACGCCCATGGACATTGTTATTACCACCAGCCCATCAGGCCAAGGGAACTTGGGATGTGTGTGTGTGTGGCTCTGGGCACACTCGTGGCACACCTCTCAGGGCGCTGAGGGTACAAAGCCAGCCATGGCCGCATACATCTCTGAGACTAAGGAGTAGCTACTAGTACGAAGTATGTATAGCACTCTGTAGAAAGTAGTACTTCTGAGGTAATTGGACCTAGAATGAGTAATGACGATGGGGCCGGGAGGGTTGCGCTGTGAGCTCCGTCTGGCCCGGGCAGTGTCCGGAACTGGGCATTAAATGGGTCCAACCAAGCAATTTTTTCTTCTCTGCTCCTTGAAGTCCTTGCTTCTTGGAGCTACTTTGGGGCCTTTTGGAGACGAGGCCTTTCTCCAGCACTCCAGCTACGAATCGATTCTCACGAATCACTGATTCAAGGGAACTCAACGGGAAGAATGTGCAAAAAAAGGGCCGAACCACGTAACCAAAAAGGGGCCCTACGCGAGAAAAAAGAACTGGAGCTACGACGCAGGAGTTTTCGTTTGTGACGTCGAATTGGTCCCTGGAAACAATTAAACCAGAGGGACAAGAAAAAATTATGATGGAAATTCTCCGATGTGTCAACAAATTTTCAGTTTCGTGTCGATGAGGTACCTGTTTGTGTACCTCGTTGTGTACATACGTAAAGTGTGTGTGTGTGTGTGTTGTACGAATAAAACCTGCACGCCCGACTTACACTACGTGACTACATTATCAATGCCTTACCTACCAAGTATTCACCTTGCGGAAGAGTGTCATGCGAATGGAAGAGAGGACCCTCTCCCCTTGCATCTCGAATTGTGGATGCCACCGGATGGCGCTGCAAGAAACTTTCCCGCGCCCCTGGTCTTGTCATGATGTTATGGCGGTGTCAGCTTCGCGTTTCTGAGTGGATGAAAACAGCTGGCCGACGTGGACGAGCGTGGCTGCGTGGTCAGGCGATGAAAGGCCGTGGCATCCGTCCGCGCCCGCGGGATGGCCATCTGCCGGGCGACGAAGAAACTCAGAAAGAGAGAGAGAGAGAAAGATACGACAATTGATAGTGGCTACGGTCAAGTGTTCTCTCTTCCCGGGCACGCATGAGGTGTAAGGTAGCGTTGAAACCTTTTGAATGTTTTGTTGTGGGTTATCAACGGGCCATGATGATGGGTGTGTTTCTCCCTGGCGACCAGTCAGTGTCAGTGTGACTGGATGATGCGATACCACGCTGATATGGAGCGATAAGGCCATCATCGCCCGTCCAGGGCCCAGATTCGCCCAGGGCAACACTCTCAATGGCTTCATGACCTGCGGTGAAGGGGTTCACTGTGTTAGTTTGTGTTTTGGACACTGAGACATGCGCTCTTACCCAACCTTCTTCGGCACTTGCGTGCCTTGGATCAAATGACGGTGACGGTGCGGGATGGGCGCGGGAAGTTTGGGTGTGCGAGACATGTCAGATGAGTCTTTTGGTGGTGTCTCCTTCAACCCTACCTACTTTCATGAGTTCTTGATTGTCAAGTCAAGGTACAAACAACCATGAACCAACCTTCTTGAGGCTTGAAACCCTCGAAGCCCACAGGGCTGCTGCCGCCTGCGTTCCCTCATTTACCGCCGACGGGCCTCATCTCAAAGTTCCCGTCTATTCCCGCGAATGGGACCACTAGAGAGGGTTGCCCTGCAGGGACCGATTCCGCACCGGACTCACTGATCGGCGCCCGACTTTCGGTGAAGTGGGCGACTTTGGCCGAAGTCTTTTTGAGGGTGTAAGGGCACGCAGTACGTAGGTATGCGTAATAAGAGACCAAGGAACTTGGGGAGAGACTTCTGACTGAGATGTAAAAAGAGGCTACTACGGAAACCGGCAGTACCGGTCGTTAGCTAACCTTGCCTTGCATAGGTAACACACATTACCTTGTTTCTTACGGTAATCAGATCCTCTCACGCCTCTCTTGAAATAGGTCAAGGAGGGATCACTGTGGCGCTCTGCATGGCGCCGTGGACACATCAGAGACGGACACATCGGACGCCGTCTAAAAGATGACCGGACGGCACTGCTAGCAAAGTCAAAGACCACACAGTCTGACGAAATTGAATCCTTTGGTCAAAGCTTGGTTTGACGTCCAAGAGGTCTAGACTCTTGGGATGACCTTGTCAATGAGATGAAGCTCGTCTGCCATGTCTGCCAATTCTCGAACAGCAGGAAACAGCTCATCACTCGCTCGGTCAGTGCGTCATCCAGACGCAACTCTCGTCATCTCATTTGTCCGCATTTCATCGCATCTCAGCTTTGATCTGATTCACTCTCCTCTGAGCCCTCTCATCTTCACATGCCCACAGCCCCGTCACCAACACTTGGCTCCTTGGCCTGGTCCTCTGCTGACCCCGCAAAGCCACTCATGATTCTCAACGCCAAGTGTCCAGCCCGTTGCGCCTCTGAAGTCCTCTGGGCTGTTTGCGCCCCGCCGAGCCACTTTGGCTGAGAATTTGTCAACACAGCTGACGCCCGCACAATCCCTTTGTCACGTTTAAACTCCAGTGACGGAATGGCCCTCGGAAAGAGAGCAAGAAAAACTTGCAGCTCCTCGGTCCGCGAAGCTGCGACCGGTGAGGGGCTTTCAAAGCTCCCGTCCCCGGTCCCGCGGAGCTGTCGGCCGGAGCCCATTCCGTAGGTAGTGCCCGCTCACTTGGCCAAGATGAGGGGGCTACGATAATCACGAGGCGTCAATAAGAGCCGGGAGCCGAGCCTACTTTTTACTTTGCATAGCCGCGTTACAAAAGTCCTGTTGCTCCAAGGTTGCATCTAAAAGTCTAGAATTTCAAAGTCTCCCTGCTCAGTTTAGTCATCCAAATATCCTGCATATCCGAATGAGATAAGCCACCGCAAGAAAGCCGAGAAGCCATCACGTTCACCCGGCTGAACCTTTTTCTCGTTGCTTTCAGCACTGCGTCCTGTCCACTAAACGCTTGCGCTTTTCGTCAAGGATGCCTTATCCCGGCGACACGGAGAGTTCTTGGCCGTTGTCCCCTCAACGTACGATCCGGAATCCGCAAAGTCATTTTCTTGTACATCAGCTATACCCCGCATGTTCCAACGCCTGGTGGGCGTCCGAGGCGTCACAGGTCCATAATGAGATATAAGGTTGCAGTGGTCTGATGGAACTTTGCAGATTTACACATCAGATCTGGCTCAAAGCTTGCTGCGCCGCGGCACACTCGGACGACGGAAATGCCGGCTCCGGCGGAATGGACCGTTTTTCAATCCCGTTCCCGGCCGATAGACTACGCATCGCCCTGCCAGGAAGGTCTCGATGAACGACTCGTCTCCGGACTATCGAGCATCTGGCAGCTTAGGAGCAATGCGGGGGCAATGATTCCTCTAGAATCTTGCACGTGATGTACTAAGCGACTGAGGAAACAACTTCTGAGGGACACTGTTCACACATGGGACTCAACACCTGAACTTGGAAGAAACTCTTGGCGTACGTTTGATAATGTTGGCCTCGCTCTTGCAGTCGTCAGCCTGCGGCTTTACTTGGTGCGAACCTCGTCGATAGGTATAATCCTATGCTTCCATCCGGGATTTGTGGCTGCACTGAGGATTGGTCTTGGATCATTTCACAGGCAGCACCAATCTCCTCACCTACGTTCCTGCCACCTTGACATCCCCTGCACTTGAACGTTGACGTGTATTATCCTGTATCTGTGAGACTCCAATCTTTTGCTTTTGGGTGGATGACCTCGGCCGGAAAGACGCTGGTCCAGTTTCTACCACGTTTGTAACCACGTAATGAGGAGCAGAACAAGGGCAAGGGTGGCAAAGCAAAAGTTCGCCGTCATTGGTGATTTACTTGAATATCAACAGGCCAGATTCTTGCACACTAGCTGTAGCCATGACGGGGCTCCGAAAGAAGCAGTTGAACTATCATCACGGATGATTGACAAGTGCATGCGGGAAACGAGGACTAAGGGGGCGGTGAACTCGTCATAAAACGGACTGACTATCGTAAAGAGCATTGACAGCTTCCATGTATGCCACAGTATTAGATCTCACTCACGGAAGGAAGCAGCTCTGGCTTTCTAAGGCGATGGAAACCAGACCGTGAAGTCTGGATTGCGGTTGGTTGATGATTGACTGAGGGAAGGAGTTACTGATGTTGTCTGTGGGAAGGGCTACCACTACCTTTGCGAATCTGGCGTATTTCACTGTACGGCACCTATACTCAAGATGGGATCCAAAACAGGTGCTTCTGAGCTTTACCATGTCGGTCGTTCAAGCACGGTTCTCCCGAGCGTTGTCTTCTCAGTGACACACAAGCCCAAGTCTACTCTCCCAAAACCGATCCTCACTACATTTCCTGATGAAATTCAGACGCAAGCACCATAAGTCGACTCTGTGATCGGGTCTCTTGAGAACCGCAACAGCATTCATCACCTGTGACGAAACAGCTACTCAGACCGTGAAGTCTTCTCATTGAGGATGGCAATTCATGCACAAGGTATGATCATTCGTCTGTCAGGCTCCGCGTTCGACGTACTTGGGAGAGTCCCGGCCTTGAACATCGTATGTCTCCCTTAGAAACATTGCAGAACATGGTGTGAAGTGACTTCTGTCCATGAGCAATAGCGAGCAGCCGCTCATGTGACTTGATCCCAAAGAGAATTGAGCAATACACACGAATGGGCACCAAGCTGCGAATTCTAGCACATACCCAGCCCGCAAAGAAACCTGTTCTATCTTCCTGATCTCAAGTGAGCCCATAGCGAACAATCACTGCAGCGCTTCAATGCGATTCAGCTTGGATAATCTGGACACATGGGCTCTCACTAGAGAGCCTTCATCACGCTGCTACGTACCGTCCACGACCTTACCGGGCTAAAGAGGGTAACACGAAGTGCCCCTGACTCCACGGTCACAGAGCCACGCCCCTTTAAGTACTAAAACTATATTCAGCAATTCGATGCCACCGCCACCGACTCGGCACTCAATCATCTGCTATCAATTCCGCCCCTCTGTGTCACAACCACCTAAAACGGGCAGAGGTTCACAAACACGTTGTTCGGCCGCCAAGAATCTTACGAGTTGACTACCATGCGAAGCATACATTCGCTTGGATCAAGTGGTATATCGCGAGGGTTTATTCGAGGATTGTTCAAGCAACCTTGATCATTCTGTACGCCCTTCATTGGACCAGGACAAGAAGACGTTGGTCAATCTTACCTACCAGCTGTCCCAACCAACCAAGGAGAATCTCCGCAAAAGGTAGCGCACGTCTTTACTGTTCAGGCATTCCCTTTGCTGCTTTGCCTTTTGCCCTTGGGCCTTGAGCTTACCCGATCATTATTGTAGAGACTGTGAAGAAGACTTGGGATACATACGGTGAGTATCCTTTGCCCGTGAAAATTATATAAGAAGAACCGGAGGGGAAGGAAGAACGACGACCTTTGAGCCAGAGTCAACAGGCCATCGACGAAGCAAGAACCCCCGAGATCTCTCCTGGAGAGAGTAAACTATTAAAGAAAGCACCTTCGGTTTCGAGCTGAAGTTTAGGTTTCGGGAAGCAGCAGCGATCTCAGCTAGACACAGTTTCTACTCATCAACACGGACAATAATTCCTAGCAACATCAACAAGAACAACATTAGTCTCCGAGCCAAATTGATTCTACCACCAGAAGACATCGCCGAATTCATTTTCTAAAAATGTGCACCTACCAGTACAGTCAATATTGGTGCAGAAATGAGAAATGCGAGAACGAGAGTGGAAGTCATCGGCATCTACATACGAAAGTCGAGTGCGCGGCTGTGAAGGAGGGAAGAGAATGTGCAGGGCCGATCGATATATTGTCCGCCAATCCCAGGAGGGGTTATTGCGGTAAGTGCGACGGACGCTTCAGCTCAGAGCAAAGCAGCAATTAGGGGCTGGTCGCTTCCGGAAGGCATTTAAATCTATACAGCAGGGCAATGAACATGAATATGGTCGAGAACGATGGGCAAGGTCATCGTCTGGAGGGCACCTGGTTGTATGTCCAACGAGTTCATAGGCAGCCCAGCGACGGATGCCAATGTTAAGCAACGGGTAGCTCTTAGTGACTGAGCAGTTTCGTGAAAGATAAATCACAGTTTTCAATCACAATGACAGTTGGCCGCATCATTGTGCTGTGCCTTCTGGTGACCGATTCAGATCTTAGGAAGAAGCAGCGACTCGGCGTCACATCAGGGTTCGAAGGGTCCGGAAGGAAGTTGACTGATTCACCTTCCCAAGTACCATAAGCCACGATATCTCGAGTGCCGGACAGCATGATTCACTTCCTGTCTTCGAAATCATATAAAAGGGTCGATTCCTTTTGCTTCAACCAGAAATTACATCTGCTCCTCCAACCACGCACTTTCAACCAAGCAAACTACAAGACAAACTGTCATCACTGCCAACTTCGACAAGAACCCATAAGCAATAAAATCGAAAACAAACACAATCTTCATCTGCCACAATCACCATTACCAGAACGTCACTGACAACATTCGCAAAGATGTGCACCCGACCCTATGTTCGGTACCACTGCGTCAGGTGCGGCACAAACCATAAGGAGAGAAAACTAGCGAGACAGCCATGCGCCCGGAAGAAGGCAGGTCACCCCTGCACAGACGTGCCTGTACTGGCATATGAGCATCGATCGGGCTACTGCGAGAGATCGGCTTGTAATCCATAGGCATCTGGTGGGTGTCTGCAGGAGAGTCCGAGTTGGGCGTCTAGCGCTCGCGTGTAGCACTTTGAGAGATGCCAGTCTTCAATAGCGGATAGCTATTAGTACCTTAGTTCGAAATAAAGCTACCTAGTAGTTTTCAGTCATTCTAACAGTTGTCCGTATCGTCTACCTTGTTCGTACATGTGCCCTTCTATAGTTCTGTGCCGGAATCTCTTGTGCCAATTTTCAGAAATAGCCTGCCTGGATTCGCGGAAGTCTCGCGATGAAGAGGTCCGATAATCCCTGTGTGTGTCTATGACCAGATTTACGACTTGGAAAGCTAGCTTCAAGGCCATACGGTGCCAAAATTTGGATATTCAAGCGCCAGAGTGCGGTCTTTAAAACCAGGGAATCGAGACGGAACCCCGTGGCCACTCCATATTCTATTTCAAGCCAGCAATGATGTCAGTGAGCAGCAGGCCAATATAAATCGTAAATCGTCAATCCTTTCCTCTCGTGTTAGAGTCCTACTGATAAGATAAACCATCACATCCCCAGAACATGTCGATGCTCTCTGCTTCATGGATACTATACTCCATCCGTGAACAAGATCAAAGATTTCTCTAAATTTGCGATTTGAACCAGATTTCTGTTCCTTTGGGATAACACTACCCTGGAAGCTGGAACACCCATTTCGCGCCGCGCCGAGCGGCATGACCAGAAAAGCCATGTTGACGATGAGCAGTACTGGTTGTCTTGTCTTCACGTTGGAGTTGCCAGAGTACTGCTCCGTGGCTGAAAATAGTCCATGATTCCAACGGAGCATCTGCCACGTTCTGATGGATTTCAGCAAGGACACGGCATATTGGAGCATTGATGATGCCAGTATTTGGATGTGGTGTATGCCGATATGCCGTACATAAGTCCACGTATTGCTGCGACGGTGAAACCGGCAAGACTCTTGATAACAGCGAAACGCATGCTACGAGGTCGAGATGATAGCTCATAGTCTTGGAACAACACCAGGTCAGTAAAACAAACCGCACCTCTGGACATGACTTTGTGTCATATAAAGTTGCCAAGTGATCTTCAAGTGATCTCTCGCCCATGCTTTTTGGGCTGCTAGCCAATGTTGTCCGTCCATATGCACCTAGTCCATCAAACTTATATATCATGCCTCCTGAAGCATTTTGGCATGCAATCAGAAGCTGAGGGATTTGCAATTTAAGTGTCTTGTTCCATCCCGGCTTGCCGTCGTCAAGTTCGCGCATTGGATGAGTTTGGTGCTGTAGAGGTCAGAACATGGGCCTCAAATAGTTCGCTTCCGGCCCATGTTGGTCTACGCAGTTATCGCGCGAGCCAATGCAACAGCAGCCGTGAGAATAATGAGGGCAGCATTTCCTCGAGATACCAAGGGTTAGGCAGTGGTGCAAGTCTGTGATGCGTCCTGTTGTAGTACTGTCTGGCGAGCGTGGAGTTAGCATGAGAGAATAATTTTGAACTTTATGACCGGAGGTAACTTGTAGTCTTCACGGCCTGTGACCACATCTTTGGTGTGCGGGGACTTGGTCACTTTACACGAACGCTTGATTGACGTATGAAGTTAAGCTTAAGGTAGTAGTGGGGAGAACCCTTGAGGCTCGACTCGAAGACAACTTTTAAAGTTATGTTACGTGATCAGTCAAGATCAAATCTGCCTCAGTAGGAAGACGAAAATGCCAGACACTGCAAGAAACAATGACATCTTGGGGCCAGGTCTATCCATTCGATGTAGCACTTGAGCACAGCGCACATCACTCAAGTATCGAGGCGTAAACTCGTACCAAGACGACAACATCGCGGCTATGAGAGCCATACACCACAAACCACTACGTAAGTAGACCACGACGTTGATGTTAAAAGGGCCAACAGCTTTGGCAAACTAAGTCACTCGCCAACGAGTCCATCGAGACGACTGTCCGTACTCAAGTCTCTGGTGGCAGCCACTCGCCGACATCGAGTCACGGCATTCGGCATTGCCCAATCCATCCCTCACACCATCTCTCAATCTCATAAAACTTTTTCAATGCCGACATCGCCGATGCCGGACACCTCAAAAAGATTCAAACACACAAAGAAATGGAAGAGAAAACGGAACGACAAGAGTCAAGAACACACCCACCCAGACGTCCCCGAGTCAGGCTCTGACCCCCATCTGCCACTGGCGCTCTGGCGCTCTCCATGCGCGCGCCCCCAGTATGCCCCCCCGGCACCAGCCGCCGGCCGTACCCGAAACCACGGGCAGTAACCCGCGCACGACCAGGGCCTTCATCCCGCGCAGAAGAAGAAATCGCGGCAGACAGAAGGACACTAGTTATCCGTAGCGCGCATGCATGTGTGTGCATGCAACGCTGCTCTCCAGACTTTGCCGTCTCTGGGCTCCTGGAGTCCGGGACACAAGCCTGGACTTGCACTGCGGGCGAGGCAGCTGCAGCTTGACCAAGGTAAGATAGGCTCAATTCTCTGTTCCGGCGCTGGACCTGCAGAGGAACACCACTGACGGAACCCGTCTGTTGGATTCGACTATGACTATGCATGTGCCTCAACTGTTGAGCGTGGGGGGGCAGCACTGCTGTGCATTGTTGGCCGTCATGACCGTCAAGGACTCAGACGCATTGCAGACATTTTCCCCCAATAATAATCACTCACTGCATCATGAAATAGGCACAAAGATATACTTTAACTGATTTGTATTCATTCTCGCGGGTCCCATGCTCTGAGCCGAGGCGCAGCTCTCACCGCTACTCAGCCCAAGATGAAGCTCCACTGCTCGCCTTCGTTGCCTCGCAACAGTCTTATCTTGCTAACCTGTAGCCACGCCGTCCCGCAACGGGGTACAGTACGTGTATGATGCCTCCGCTGCACAAATCCCCCTAGTTGACATTTATCCACTCATGCAAAATAACAAGTCAGCTCTCGACGTTTGAGTCAAAGAGTCTCTGGTGATAATGCCCCAAAACCATCTAGATGCGAACCATGACGCTATCGCAGGCCGTTGCGATCAATGCAATAACAATTAAAACGAAAGGCGGTGCCGTAGAAATGCGGATTTCTGCTTTGGCTCCCGTGATTTCCATGCGGGTTGCTGTCCTCTCTTTGGACATAAAGCCGTTCTAGTGACCCAGCGGAACATGCAACGCTGATAAAAACAAACGCCAGTGTACCCAATGCCACACAGAGGAGGGTATCGAGGTGAGGAAGGGAGGCGAGAAAGTCGACACAGGTATCCATGCTGGATAAACAGAGTCGACGTGAAAGGGGTATGAAATTCAAGCGCTCGCAAAGGGTATCGCGGTGATGGCGATCTATATCAAAGAAGATGGAGAGCTGAAAGAGGGCGCGCTTAGTGCTTCTTGTCGGAGCTGGCAGAGTGCTGCTTCGAGGAGTGGTGATGATGCTTGTGAGAAGAGTGGTGTTTGCGGACCTTGAAAAAGTCAGTGGCGGTCGCGAGCAGGCTTTAAGAGGCATTGTGGCTTACCCGTTGGCGACCGCGGTGCTCCTCCTCGTCCGAGGAACCGTTGCTCAGACGTCTCCTCTCCTCCTCATACCAGGTGCTCAAAGACTTGCCGCCAAACATGAGATCGTCATCTTCGATGATGGTGGCCTGGATCCAGCCTTGTGAAGCGAGGTCAAATTCTCTAGCGTTGGGATCCATGGCGCTGGCGTTGGGAACAACATAGTAATATTGGTCTTGTGCTGGTGACATTTTGTATGTGTCTGCTAGTGGCGGCTAGTTGTGGACTGGAAGGCGGGTAGGAATGCAAGATGGGATGGAATGCGCGGGTCCTTTATGGTTGTGTTTTGTGTAGACGTGAGATAAATGACGCGTGATGCTGGTTTTCGCGTAGATGAGTTGCTTGGCTGATGGTGTTTTGAAAAAGCCGGGGTGATCGCAGCTGGAGTTATTTAAGCCTCCAAGACAGGGACCCTTGAGTTATAGCTGGGACGGGGTGGCAGAGAGCAGGGAAGTCTGGACTCTGGAATTCGGAATGACGGGAGGGTGTGCTGGAAATATCGACGAAAGCGACAAAGAATCCAGGCGGGCGGGCGTTCGGATATCCAAGGGTCCAGTAAAAGAATTTACTGGCAGAGTAGGAAATGTTCGCTTTCCTTTGTTCGGTTGCCGATGAGAATAAGGCAGGGCGAGACAGCACTAGACGGTGTGGGTTGGATCGAGTAGAGGGCGGATCGGAGGAGCGGTAGTGAGTAGAGGCGTATGTGTGTAGACTTGTATGAGGCGGCGGAGGAGGAGGCTTATTGTGAGATCGTCGAGGCCCTTTGAAAGTTCGGTCACTGCGGTATGGCGGGATGTCAGAGTCGCGGAATAGAATAGAAAGAGAATCGGGAGGAGGCCGTCACGATGGATGCGGGTGAAGGCTGGGTTATTATGGATTATGGGATTGTGGGCTGCAAGGCAGCAAGTGCGAGGGTGCGGTCCTTTCCCCGTATTATTTCAGGTTGGCCTCGCGTGGCGGGAAGGAGCACCGTAGGTACCGAACCCGCTGTGTGTGGGTGTGGGAAGGAAGGGGGAAGGAGACGGAGTGACATGTGTGAACTTGTGAGAAGGAGGGAAGGAGGGGGCAGGGGTGGACTTCCCGGTCTGTGCAGAGTGGGAAGGAAGTGGGCGACCCCCTTCCCAGTGGAGACCGAGTAAGGTAAGGTAGGGCAACCGCGGGCAGGGGTGGAGAGAACAGGCGAGGGCGCAAGGGGGGGGGGGGAACGGAAAACGGAGAGCGAAACGGTGCGATGGCCTTTCGTTGATGACTTCCAAGTCCGTTTTAATGGGTACACGCACCTAACAAATGGAAGTAAGTAACTCACCCACACCTCACCGAAATGGAAGCAAGGTAGAGGCCAGAGAGAGCCTAACGCGAAAGTCCGGGGGAGCTGGACACACATCGGGTCGAGTTCAGCCCAGCTGCCCAGGTCAGGACCAAAGGGACTGTGCAGCTTCAGTGCCAGCTGCTGTGTGTTGGCACTGGTAGGTAGGTCCTACGTGGTCGGCTGGCTTCACCTCTCAGCTGAAGACGCGTCTTCTCGGTGACTCTTGTCTCAAATCTCGTTCCTTCTGCCCAGCAAGTCGGAATGGCGGAGGCAGGGGGGTCGCATTCAATAGTCAATAGTCGGAGGGCAGGCTGACTGAGAGAGTCTGAGGTGAGGTGAGGTGCGTGAGCCTGATATTGGATTGGGTACGGTGTACGGAGTGCAGAGTATTGGTCCACTTGATGCACGAGTGCCACACTGCGGTGGTTTGCTGATGCCGAGACGATGGCATTGGTGCTGATGGCGAGGCCGATACCGAGTATTGAGACTGCTGATGCGGCCTTGTTTCGGCTCAGCAGGCCGCGAAGTGTCGGGTCTGAGTTTTGTGGGTGAAGGACTTGTTGGACTTGAAGATTCCCGTCAGAAGAAAAGAGTCAGAGTCGGAGGAATCAGACTGGTGGTGCCCGATGTTGATGGTGTTGGTGCGGGGGGTTCCGGAAGTGGAAGCGTAGGTACTTTCATGATACCACCGGCTTCGGTCGTGATGATTCAACTACCTTATTGCTGGACTCCTTCGCTCCGTCCAAGTCGGCGACGTGGCTGTAACTCTAGCCCGTTGCAAGCTTTGCTCCGTGAGATGGCTTGGGGTAATCTGGACTGCCGACGTGTCGGTGTCCGGAATGAAGGCTACCATAGGAGCTTAGATGGACCATCGGAGAGGTCTGGACTCTCGGGGTATTTGCAACCTCAAAATGTGCAGCCTGCTTCTGGATGGCCTGGGCGGCCTAGATGGCCTGGATCGTGGACCACGACGATGCGATTGGGGGAGAGGGTTTGAAAGTCTACACTGTCCGTAGGTACTACGGTGTTTATTTGCCCGGCAGCTGAACACTTTGGAATATCCGTGTATGGCGTTGGCCGTGCGTGAGATACAGATACATCTGGAGACATTGGGCAGCTGAGGCATATTGCCGAGAGAATACACGAAAGACAGCGCTAAGTCGGTGCAGGTCGTGATTTTACCTATAGATCTGAGATTGGTATATCTGTATCGATCGAATGTCTGGCTAATCCCATCACTCCCTGCACTTTGGTGTTTCTTCTTTCTGCCGAGGGCCCCGGGGATCCGTTTGAAACGGAAGAATAAAGGACAAGGCAAAGGGCGGGTATCCGTAGAGCAAGATATACCAAGGTACTGCGTAAGGTAGTAGTATCATGGATGATGATGGCGAAAAGGCAGATTATCTGTAATCTTGTGTCATTCCCGGCCTTCTTATCCGTGCCTTATCTGGCGGCTGTCATAAAATAGGACCGCAGCACGACCGGGCGGTATTGGATCGAGCTGACGAGAGGCGAAGATAAAATGACAGAATAACAGCGACAAGCACATCCTGATGGGAGTCGATTGCCGGACTACGTACTTGGTATTCAATCATTGAGCCATGAATGAGTCCATGACACGGCCGAGGATTGCAGCGATGATACAGCACTCAAAACCTGGGACCGGCGGCGAGTAATGACGCGGATAACAGTTCACTGTAAGCCCTGGGCAAGTATCCGTACACGCCGAGAACGGAATACGTCCGTTCCTGTCAGCACCAGGGCGGCCGTCCGTGGCTGAAGGCCAAAGTACCTTTACACTGCCATGATCTGCAGATGTACATGTCGACCCTCTCACCTCTTACACGGAGGGGAAACCTTGGGGTGCATGGCCACCAGGCAAGACAGGGCTCCGGGGGAGGGCACTGGCACATTGCGGGCTGCAGGTTACCTCCTCAGGCGGGAGTCAGGCACCCTAGAAGGCAGGTCGCGGCGTCGCTTCGGCCATGGCAGGCAGAAAAGGCAGAAGACTAACCAGGCCCTTCAACACGATCCCATCTCTTGTCTTTTCTGCTGAGGGGATTTTTGAGAAACAAGATGGGGAAAAGGAAGACACGGCGCCTCGGGCGGACCAGGCGTGGATTTCTCGGGTCGGCCGTCTTCCGTTGAGATAACGAAGCGAAACGGACTTTGAGGCCAGGCACGGGTGACCATGACCGAGGCAAGACGGTTCGTAACTACCTAAATTCGGATACGGCGTTCAGGACTGGACGAGATACGGATGATAGGTACGGAGTACGCAGGTACTTTGCTTTACGAGACCGGCTGACGGCGAATGGAAGGTGACCTGCCGCGAGGAGTGAGAACTCGCTGAGGATGGAAGGCAGCCCTTACTCTAGGTACAAGACATGGAGCGACGGATACGTACCGACGTACCTGCCTTTACCTTCTTCTTGTTTTGCACTTGCGGTCCCCTGATTTGCAGGGCTGCACCACCAGGGCACCTCGGTTCCACCAATGTCTCCATCCAAAAGATGGGGGGTTCCTTCCACTTTTGACACTGACACACCGACCGTCAGTCTGTCGCCCACCGTCCCAATCTACCGTCTACGCCATCTACACCGTCTTTCATCTCACCGAGTGAGGTGAGCGTCTCTCCTTCAAGTTTCTCGTCCAAAGGCTCCAACTTTGTGCATTTGTCTCGCCTGCCAGATTATCTCCGTCTTCAGCCCGCCAATGACACGCCAACCTGCTGCATTTCTCCAGTCACTGGCTCCCGCTGTCTGTTTCGTCGAGAATAAGGTCTTTACTTTTCAACCAAACGCACGCTCGAACCTCGCAGGTTATTGTTTTTTTATTTAGCTAATCGACGCCTCTACCCGTAAAGAGTATTTCCGTCCGTCGTCGCCTTTGTTGATCGTCTGCCTCGTAAGTATTCCCGAGGCCCCTGGTGTGTCAAGAGTCAAGATACCAAAGGGCCGCTGCAGATCATGTCAAGCTTCGGATCTTGGCTCTTGTCCCTTTGCAGATACCTACAAGTGCCAGAGTACATTGGTACCACACCCGCAGCGTTGTTGAGCCTCGAATACCTGACTCGGAAAATGATGTGCGCCAGCCAAGCATGTGTATCGCCTCTTGAATCCTATGGCGGAACCTGGCCGACAAACACGTCATATCAAAGATGGATGAGACGCGCGAGACTGACACGAAGAAACACTCGACACGACATCGCCATCAGCTCGTCCGCTAGAGAACCTCACGAAGTACTGGTATAGCCAGACATTGTACAAACACGCTGGGGCTCCTATGCTCGTCCTGCTTGCGTGTCCATCTCGCACTCTGAAGCATTAGACCGACAACCTTGATAAAAGGGTCCGAATCTCGAGACAGGGCAGCGTCGACGACGGTGACAAGGCTCCGTCAAAGGGACTGATACGGTGATGGATGGACGGCACATCCTTCTCTTGGCTTGGCCCCTCTGCCCCTTGGTCTGTGGCCTCTATCGTTTCCTCCTCCTGGATCTTGGAAGGCTGTGCCAAAGGACCAACCCTGCAATCAAATACGGACGCTACCCGTTCTGCCCTGAAGGCCCGTCCGGATATTGCTGAATGCAATGGGGACCTCGGATGCTGAACCACGGTTACACTGTCCACAGCCTTTTTAACTGGGCACCCGTCAGTGTCATCCTTGAATCTGGATATCAAAAAAAGAACGAGCTGCCGATTGTCATCTCGCCATCTGGGGCATCTGGGGGCATACGCGCATCGGTATGCGACGTGCAATTTTATCGGTTCATCGCCAGCGATCAACTCATTTAACCCCCAGAATATCATCACGCCAGACTGATGCATCGCCCCATGCCCCGTACCCAAAATCTGCTTCTGGACAGACTTGCTCGAGACTGAAGGACCTGACAGCGGAATCCGTCTGTGAGGCCACCATCCGTGCTCTTCTTGAGCCGTTTTTGGCTGCTCGTCGCGCCAACACTCCTCCCCTCTTTCAACCCCAGACGTCCCCTCATTTCATCAAAACAGCCATTATCAAAATAGCTGCCGCAGTATGGATGGACCGCCTGGGTATCAAAGCACAATCTCGTCTCATATGCCCGCCGTTGACCACGCCAGCGGGAAGAGGCGCGATAACAAAATAGAAGGAGGGGGAAAAAAACATGGGATGCCTATTCGGGCAGTCAGCCAACACTTGCAATATCCACCAGTCGCACGAAGGTCTCCTGAGTCTAGAGTCCAGTCATCTGCATCTCGCCATCTATTTCAAATAAAGGAAGCCAGACCATGTCATGTTGCGGTACTTGGAACCCGAGACGGATGGCGCTCTCGACCCCGTTGTTCCGTACCCTAATGTTCATTGTTCTAGTTTCGTACCCAACACTAAATGTCCATGGTGCGAATTATCCCGCGCTGCTAGCCAATTCGCGAAAACGCACCCAATCGCCATGCTTTGGTCATGGAATATGGCCCAAAGTCCATCCCAGGTGTCTAGGTTTGCATTCGGAGCCCCTCCATTGGATCGTCTGCCTGGCTACTAGGCCCCCAACGAGGATGGATGAGTCGGGCTTACTTTTGTTTCTGTAGAAGACACACGCATGCTGCATCTCGTACCTGTCACTCGCGTGTAACCCCATCGCAGGCCCGACAAATGGGCTGCGTTGAGGAGACGATTTAGACTTTAGCATCTCGTCTTCGCGTTGGGCGCGGAACGTGGTACAACAAGAATACAAGAGCACGCAACTGAGTAGTGGCATCGCAGTCATCCTTGCCGTTCTGGCCTTTCATCCACGCGTTTCCCGCGCTGGCCTCGGTGACCTCCTTTGGCCTCTCTGGATCCCAAAAGTGCCATGAACCCCCATATGACGACTCATCACCGAAATACTAGGCATCGAGCTCAAGTGGGTGGTCTGTCAGATGCCAGATGTTGGGGATGTAACCTTTGAGCAAGACCATCAACCCCTCCTCCCCCCTCACACTCTTAAGGACAAGAGTATGTGTAGCCGCCGGACCGTTTGGCATGGCATCCCACCACGACTTCGCAGTGTCCTCCTGCCCAAACCGGTCACGGGCGGCGGACATGGCGAGAATATCACGGCGTGCTCACCTGGACTCGTCAACGGTCCGGCGAACCAGAGCCTCGTGACTTTCCGGCCAGTCACCCGCTTCCCACCCACCCATCCCGTAGCCGCATCTCCCGCCAGTGCGGAGCCCAGATGGAGGGACCAAAGACGCACGACATGGCCCCTTCTCTTGGGTTGTTGGTTGGGCTGCTCACCAAGGGTGGTTGCTGATGCTCGAGCTGTGCCACGATTGCTTCCGTCAGCAACACCCCGACTTTTCCACCAGCAAAGACGTGAGTTTTCCCTCTTGTATCTGCTCCAAATGGCGGCACAGGCATCGGCCCGGTCATGTCATGTATGGAACCTCGTCTGTGGCTGGTGCTTACCAGATGCGATCCCCAAAGGCACGTTGTGCGTCCCAAAGCTACCCACGGAACGTAAGTAAGTCGGGTTACAGCGGATTCGGTGCATCAGGGTCCTTTGCGGCCGGGCGATCGCTGGGTACCCCGCGTCGACAGAGAGGGGGCGCCGAGGCCATGGGAGGATGGAAGCGCGCAGCGAACATGGAGAAGGATAATCCGCAGGGCCGTGGTGGAGGGGTGTGTGTGTGTGTGTGTGCTTCGGTGTGCTTCGGCGCCTTTTCACCGCCTGCTCCGCGTCTGCCCGAATAAACATTCCTTAGGGTAGATGCTACAGAAGATGGCACGGAAGACTACGTACGACAGGACTGAGGACTCCAGACCGCTGACCGTCCGGCCGGCCATCCATACACCCTCCGTTACAGTTTTCCGTTGGCCATCTCAGAGTTCTAGGTACCGTATCCGAAGACAGGATTACCTAGATGCCTAAGCCCAAGTGTGCAGGATTAGTCCCAACATGAATCTTTACGGTTCAAACCAAACACGCACACACCGTATCCGTAGTGTACAGCATGTCGTCTCAAGTCACCGAATTCCACGCGACAATGGAGATACGTACACCGACCGACTCGGGCATAGCCGAAAGAGCACCGACTCATTCACGCACATTGCGACCATCCCGTATGAAACGGCCTGAATCAGTTCTCGCGGGATCTACTGGCCTTCTTCGACTCAGCTCGAGTCCTCGTAGCGGTCATGGCAGCGTCGCGCATGCCATCCAACCGCATGGGGAAAGCCTATTGAGGCCACATTTTGCACCAAGAGTCGAAGAAGAAGAAGAATGTTTTCCCGCACTCAATGCACATCCTCATCCTCGGACCAAGTCCGGCAACGGCAATACTTTGGCGTTTCTTGGGACCGGCTCACCGGAGCAAGGCACGGCGTTTCGAGGAAGGACTTGATTGACCAACTGCAACTGTATCTCGTCTTGTACCCGGAGTATCGCTTGGCACGCTGCAGAAAACCTAGAATCTCTCACAGAAGAACTCTGATCGTCGCGCATGCCGTATAGACACACGCATCCACACTTTCGTAAACCGGGCGCTTCAAGTAGGTATACCGGCAAAAGTGTCGGCTCCTTTCTTTTGAAGTTACGGGCCGCGCCAGACGCACGGAAAACGGTCGGTGAGGCCCGCCACAAGGAGATGGCCGCCGGGCAGAGAGCCACATGTCAAAAAAGTGTCAAGAGGATGGAAGATCTCGATTTGCGGCTTATCGCGGGGATGGGGGTTAAGTCACCAGCTGCGATCTCGTTCAACCAATCCTCGGTGAAGAGGCGGGGATCAGGGTTGGTTTCCAGAGCCATGAGGCAGCAGTCACGAGGACCCAGAGCCTTGCCGCAAGTTGCAACGCATATATCTATTCAGTGCTCTATAGACGATTGCCGTGAAGAGTGAGTGATTGGGTTCGAGTGCCGGCCAACGGCGGGCATCCTTTGTCCAGTTGTGGCATGCCGCATGACGGGCGCCTTGCCGGCCGGCAAAGGCCATGTGACCGGTTCGCTCTCTGGTAGGTACCGACGCCGGACCAATATGGGCATTCCTGAAGGTTTGGATGTTTGATGCACACTTCACCCAGACAAACAGAAACATCATTGGTGATGTTATGTTTTATGCACGATACCCGCCGACGGCGCGGCGGCGACACACTACAGTCGATTCTACCGTACACGTTTTCAAACGGCGGGATGTAGTATACAAAGGGATTTTGCGGTACTTGGCGAGGTGTGAAGATAGGTATCGCCCTCGGGGTATTTTTCGCGTGTGTTGGCTGCGGCGAACGGCGATCGTACATTACTTCGGGGGAAACGTCTCCGCAGCTTTCTCACCAAGAGATCTACATACGGCCGAGGAAACACGAAAGAAGAAGCGTGGGCGGCTCCGCTCACGGGTCCATCTGTTGCAAGTTGCAGGCTTGTAGCGCACATCATTGACCAAAAAGGCTTAAAGGTACAGAGGACCGGGTCGCGGCGGCGAAACATATGCAAAAGAAGAAAGAAAAAAAGGCATTCTTTTGACAAAGATGGCAAATTTTTTGCCTTCCGTCATGACAGTGCTATCTTGCATCGGCGGAGAAGCTCCGGGTTGGGGGCGAATGAGGTTGCGACGAGTTGAAATGCGCGAGTCGTCGCAAGTTTTGGTGATGGAGTCAATCAACGTTTTAGTTTCTGCGTTAGTTACTGCGTATGGAGGTGTGGATGGTGTTCATGCCCCTCGTCTTTTGGGGTCCGATGCAATACGGTTGAACCACATGGTGACAGAACACACTCACCCCCCATAAAGGTTCCGATACCGCATGCACACCGCACCGAACCGTCGAACTTGATGTTTGTGTGGATGTCAAGCAGACCGAACTGTGGGAAAACGGAATCATCAGATCAGCCAAACCGACGGAGAGTGAGAGTTGGATTCATGGGGTGGTTGTTCCACAAGGCACAAAGACGGTGAGCATAACAGACAGGTTTCGCCACGGGATGGAGTCATGGTATCGTGGAAATCGTGACAAGAGGTTTTCCATGTCGTTCATCAACTGAGACGCGGCGCGTGGTCCGGCGTCGTGGCGATGACGTCAAGGTTCGATGGAGGGGCAGAAGGGGGGGGGGGGGGCGGGGGTTCATCCTCTTCTTCTTCTTCTTCGTCTTCTCCGTCTTCTTCGAGTTATCCTTGCCGGCTGTTTGGGTTTCCTGCTCGGGAGGGACCAACCCCGCGCATACTGTCACTATTACACCACAGATGCACTACTTTACTCACTTTTGTACGCACAAATGCTGTGCCCATTGACTAGCAAAAGGGTACTCCGTAAAGTAGTTCTGCTTTGCTTGGAGCGGCGGCGAGAGGGGCAACAGGAGCCAGTGACAACATCGTGTCCGCTTCGGAAGCGACGTTTCCAGGGGGGTTAAACTCTTTGGCAGCTCCATCCGCGCGGGAACCCTGGGAAAGGAAAAAAGAGGCTTCGCGGCGTGGCGTGGCGTAGCGTGGCGGGCAATGACATCAGCGAGGAAAAAAGATTTCAACACCAAACTGATTCGTGGCGGAGGGACTTACATAGATGCCTGCGAGAATCCTTACCTTGCAAGTTGCCTTGCCCGGCCCAGTGACGGTGACAGAGCAACTGGAGCCGTGTCAGTCGAATGCAGCGGGATGCAAAGAACCCGGAATCCTGGGAGAGTTTAAACGGTTTCTCAGGAGTCAAGGGGGCCATTGGGCCGTGGGTTGTTGGTGATTACACACATACAGAGAAAGGATCAAAAAGACAAAAGGTAAAAAGCTAGAATGAGCCCTACGACGAAGTTACGTCGCCCCGGGTCGGGTCCCCCCCCCCCCCCCCACCCTAACGCAAATCACTTTAAAATCAAGGCACCTCGTTTAGAGGGGGAGGGAAAAGGCTCTTTCTGGGAGTTTGCCATGTGGCTGGTCGCCTGGCCGCTGGACTCAAACTGCTTGCAGAAGACTTCCGTGCCTGACTGACCCTGACGTGGGTGACGTTCACCTTTGCTAAGGTAGCCAACCCCCACCACGTCACTGGCGATGATCTTCAAGGGTTGCTGAATCGTATCGTGCAGCGAGGTGACTACGCTTTCCGCGGGAGTATGTAGATATTTGCCATGCCTGTCTATTTCGGATTGGATAGTATGGTAAGCCCGGGGCGGTGTATCACAGTTTGAGAGTCCTTCTAAGCTGCGTCTCGTGATGGTGAGGCGGTGCTGCTTGGTGCTGATGCGGATGCTGATCAAGGAAGAGTCCGTCGTAAAACCAATCAGTCTCGTGTTGGTTGGCGCTTTTCTCATACCTTATTCTACCGTGTAGGAATTCTCGGATTTCAAGTCACACCCTGCAGATCTTGGGATTACCCGAGGGATCGTAAACGGTATCAAAGCAAAAGAATCAATGGCTGCGAAAACGGATGGCCGAAGGACACCGGGTAATGCTGTTATCCCCCCTCGGACCCCCTCCGCCTTGGATTATGCGTTCTTGCCGGGCTTTTTTGGCTTGCCTTAACTCGCGACAGGGGAAATGGGTGAACCGTGCTGTGCTGTATTGTCCTGCTGTCGATGCCGAGGCCGTCTGCCGCCTGCCCTGAATATGATTGAAACGCCAGAAACTCTTCCGTGGGGACAAAAATCGTGTACCTGGACATACTTGCGACACGGCTCGCGCATATTGGAATACGGACCGCGGTGCGCCGCAAAACGGTCTGGCGGGGTCGAGGCCCGTAAAAGCAGTGAGGTCATTGCGGGATGTAGGATGCAAATGACAAGACGGCAGGTGGTGCCCAGGGGGAGGGGGGAAACAAGAAGGCCGCGGTCTTTTTTCTTCAATCTGGTTTCTACGGGTTGATTCGGGTAGTTCGGCCGGGAGAGTTCATGCAACTTCTGAGAAAACGTCAACGATTAGAAGGCCTCTCGACCATCGATCGTGCGGATCGGACGGGATCGTGGACGGACTTGGGAGGGGCCAGTCGGGAGAATAAATGGGGCTTACGGGACTGCCGGTGCCGTCCGGGATGGGCGGAGTGGTTTCCTGAATTTGCTTCGGGCTTTTGTCTTTTTTTCTCTTGCGGCCATCTCCTGGCAATCCTCGTCGGACTTGTGAGTGAGTATATTCGTATTCTTCAGACATACTGGCTATCTACCCCCCTAGACATATCCTTCTCATCACGGATCTGAATATTTTAAAAGGGGGAATATCCGGCAGTGTGCTCAGACACGCTTCTGCCACTAGGAGGTCTTGTCGCCGTTTCGGACCCGAAGGAGGAGTATTCAGCCGCGCTTCAAATTTCCCATGATGACAGAACATATGCTAAAAAAAAAAAGAAGAAAAACGAAAAGACGGATGGAAGCTTGCGAGGCTTGGGCATGCGTGGGTACGTGTGTGCAGCTCGCTCGGCCTCGCCTACAGCTTCTAGTTCTGCTTGGGGAGGCCGACAGCCTGCGATGTTAGGGCTCGAGACCCGCTCAGGTTTATGTAGCCTTTGGGATACTAGACGATGGGTAATTTCGGCCTTGAAGGGGTCTAGCACAGATGAGTTTCCTTCGTGGGGGACGAGAACCAGAGTTGTCACAGCGGTTGGCAATGTGAATTGAAGTCGGTGCGTGATGAAGTTATACGGGATTTTATAGCATCACAACCGCGAGAGGACGTTGGGG